CTGCATGTGTCCTTTGCAACGGATTCTAACCTCTTCGGTCGTAGGTCTTTTACGCGGTAACATGTATCTGTCAGCATTTAACAAAGAAATGTTGCAATTTTTCTTTGTTTTTAACTTTAAATTTTGCTAGAGTGCTTTCTGGAGCAAAAAGGGTAATAGTGCAATTTTCTGCTAGAATTATCGGAGTAGTTCATGGGACAGAGGCCTACACACCTTTAAGTTCCGACATCCTTTTATTTCTGTTTGAACTAAGAAATGCAATTACTGAGAGTAGATCTCAGTTGGTTCATTATTATTAAAATTGCACGGTGGACCAGTAAGTTTAACGCAAAAGAAGCAAATTTTGATTTAAAAAAATGTTTGTGTCGTCAGAGAGAGGCTTATAAGCTTAGATACTGCAAGGTGGCGCCCTTTAAGGGTGAAATTATGACATACGATGTGGCCTTACAACAACAACAAAAAACTCAAAGTTGGGTTAAAACTGCCGCAGCGACCGGCTACCGAGACTGAAGTGCAAATACAATAGTAAGATACCGAAAAGGGCGTGGCTATTTTTTCGAGGAAGTTTGAGTGCGCTCGAGAGCGAGCGGCCCAGAAATCCGGTTTATTCTCATACGCGTGCATGCTCGGCGAACTCAAAAGAAAATGGAGGATCTGCGAACAGACTGCCTCCACCATGCGCTCTAGAGATGAGCTCGCCCCTCTCAGAGGGCCTCACTTAAGTGTAGGGTCAATTATTGAAAACGGAAAAAAGAAAAGCAAAAATGGAAACAAACAAACAAAGAAACTCTTTGAGATCTTAGAACGGTCAACTCTGCTAAATAACTTTTACTCAGACATTGAGTTCAGGTTTAATTAAAACTGTAGCACTAATTTGATATTAACGACACCAATTGAAAAATTTCAGTTCTCGAACTTTTCTTCACTGATTTATCGTTGTCGACCTTAAAACAGCTTGAGCCCCTAGCGTCAGAAGTCTTAGACAAGTAATTGGTTATAGAATTGGACTCAATTGTTATTAATTTAAAACTCTTATATCAAATAATCCTCTCGACCAACAAGCAGTTTAGTCTAGTACGTCTCAGTAGGATAATTTCAAGAAACGATTAAAACCAATGGTTGTTAAAAACGATCCTTGAATTGATGATTCTACAAGTCATTCCTATTACCATAAGAGTTGATACCGTGCGTTTATCTTTGAAGACTCGACTTAGCTAGAATTTTCTTAGTTATTCCGTCTGATTTTGAAGTAGCAGGATGCTGCTCTAATTACACGTTTTCTTTTGTACACTTAAATCTGTTTTTTTTTTGTACATCAACATTCAGTTTTAGACATAGTTAATTTAATTCTTAAGTGTTCTCATGCAGATTTAATTTGCGGGGTTTTGTAAAAAGTATTAGAGTTTGCCTAATTATAATTCTGCCAGCCGACTACCTCCCCCAAGGAGGACGAACGTAGTAGAAGAAATTTTGTTTTGATCGCTCATCTAATTCAGTGTGAATCATTTGTTAAAAATTGTTAAAATCACCCTTTAACTGAAAAGCAGATTTTAAGCACTGTTTCACGTCCGAACTAAATTGAAATTTTCATCAAATATCGCAAAAGCGAACAGGCCAGCGATTCTGGAGTCAAAGAGGTAAATGTACTAAATAATTTGAAGTCGATAACTAACTATTTTTACTGTTCATTTGAAATTGTGAGAGGTTCATCATAAGACAAGAGAATAGTACATTTTTGATGAAAAATAAACCACGTAGCGCTATTTCGATTCCTGGAAACTCAGACGTCGACTGTCATAGAGAAAGTAATTATAATTACTCCCTACTCTTTTAAATTAAGTACAAAATGCATTACTGTTAGTGAAAAATCCGATTATGTGGATTGATGCTTATATTTCAGTTGTCGCCGGTGGCCTTTTGATATTAGACTTTTCTTTCCCAAAATGGTTACATTTTCTGTGATTTGTTTTAAACTTAGATTTGATATGGGGCTAATTAAAGACCACTGTTTCTTATCTGCAAAGAAAGAACCCGATTAGACATAATAACTATTACATACATGTAGCAGATATGTATTTTCACTTGATCTCATGCCCTGAGGACAGTCAGGGAAAGACTGGGGTAAGCACCGGAACTTATCATTAAGTACTTTTGCCTTGGTTCGTCTCAACATCCCGAAACACTTCTAATGTCATTCAATCTCTGCACTACTCCAACCGGTTCTCCTCAGTAACTATTCCTTTATTTTTGCCTTCAGCTGGCGAAAACAAAAAGCGTACCCTTCAGGTTACAAGACGAAAAAGTTTCTCGTCCCCGTCATAGTTACCTTTTTTGTTTAAAGTTTTTTATATGATCCTCTAAAAATTTAACGAGAGAGGACTGATCGCTTGAAAGTAAACTTGAATTGAATTTCTCTTCTCTAAGGCCATTAGGGCCTGAGATTGTCCCAAACCCGATCAACAATTTTGGAAAAAAAAAAACAGCACGAGGGCAACTCTTAAACGGAAAAGGACATGTTAAGGGTCATTTGAAAATCACGTTTTATTTAAGAGATTCAAATTTTCTGGTGGTCCTAATCATATTAATTTAATTCGGATTAAAAACTAGGTTTCTAGATTTTCAAAAGATAAAAGATAGGAGACAGTGCATCTCTTGAACTAATTTGATATGTTTCACCTGCTCTGACTAGCAAAAATGTTGTACTCGATCATAGTCGATAAAGCCGATGACTTCTTGACTAGGAACGTAAACATCACGGTGAGAAAAAGGCGAAGGGATTACCCAAAAAGGCATTGACGACTGTTGTGAAAGAGAGCGACGACGAATGAAATATGTTTTGGCGGGCTCCTCAGGAAATCTTTGGGACGCCTCAAAGTCCCCTTTTCTGGGTTTCTGAGTCATTCAGACAGGATATTGGCGAGATTTCAACTTGGAAAGTGTTTTTTATTATGAAAAACGTGACCGATTTCCGTAAAACGGTGGAAACCTGTGTGGGTCCGCGCCTGAGTCGAATTCAAAAGAGGCTAATTATAAATTTAAAGATTACTTGCATACTCAAGGAAACCCATAGAACACCATATTGGTTTCAATACCGTGTTATTTTATATTCTGACAAAACTGCAAATTTCTTGCGAAGAATGCAATGCTCAAATTAAGAAACTCGGGTCGTATGGTTGATCCAGTTTAAACAAATTACTCAGTGCTTCCGCTCTTCTCTTCTGTGGGTGTGGCAATCTATCACATTGTCAAGTGATATCTTTTGAACACCAAATATTTATTTCAATGAAGATAGGATGAATTTTAAGAAATCCACTCGCCTTGAAGTTATTTTGTAATTACCACAGAGCAGGTGGTCATAAAAAGTGACTCAGAGACAGAAGTTAATCAATGTTTGGAGCACCCAAGTATGACATTTGCAGGTGATAAAAACTCAGATTAGCTTTTCCATTACGATCATAGTTTGCGATATAAGTATTAGCTTGGTCTAGTTGCAAGGTTATTCTAAACATTTAAAACATTAACATGTATATTATTAAATGTTACGCTTAAGAGGTGACAAAATGCTTGTCGGCTTGTATCTAAATGGTTTTCGATATTGTTCCCTCAATCTCTCACCTTTGCAGTTAATAAGGTTTTCTTTATCTCTCAAAAATATCAGCCGCATGTTTCTATTCATTCAAAACTGATATCTTGTCAACTCTACCCAAAACACCACCCAAAGACTGACGCGAATTTTTCCGACAAAAATTTCAAAGCAAGTCGTAGTGGTAGTGATGGGAAAAAAGAAAAAAAATACCATCTGCTCTAAGCTACTCAATATGCAAAATATCATAAAGCCTGACTATAAGATAAAAAATACTAATTAACTTGAAAAAAGGCGTCAAAGAGAACTCTTTCCAACATTCTCTCCTCGGTTGTGAACATTGCTTTTTACTGAGATGATTAACACACAATGTATACATGAATGTGGTTTGCATAGTTAATGACGTCCAACCTTTTTGTCATAAGTGCCACTGAAAAGGAAGATTTTTCCTGATTCGCTATCACCATTACACACTAACCATTACCCTGCTTTGTATTTTAGTTTTGGAGGAATCGAATCGAATAGAATCCTGTTTCCTGCAATTCAGCGAGGTATGCACTGATGAAAACCTTTTGATTTAACCGTTTATTAGTCTAATAGTTAGTTCCATGCCAGACTCCCTTGGCCAGCCGGTTTTTCGGCTCTAGTTTTGGCTGTAAAACAGTGTCTCCATCGAAAACTAACTGATTCCGTTTATAATCGATCTCCTCCACCCTTAGAGAAGCAAATCCAACGGCATATTTTACTTTAATACAAATATTCACAAGAAACTAGTAGTGATTTCGAACTTCAATTCTGCACTGAGTGCTGCCTCCCTTTCTGATAGGAAAAAAGAATGTTTAGATCAAATTTACAACGGTTGGTTTTGCAATGTCTGTCCTAAATAATGTTGTTCAAAAGGGGTAATACGGGTTACAAATAAATGTAAGTTTTCTATGATTCCATTTATTTAGCATCGGAATTCGATTTCATGGGTTATTACCTTCTGCTTCAATATTTTACGTTCTTTTCGGTGGCTAATAACCAGTTTTCGTCAGCTTTTATTCTTAACTTAAGGAAAAAAACCTCTGTTGTGGACATAAAAATTGCGGACCTTTTCTTTCTTTTGAAAGGAAGGCTAATTTCACTTTAGCGCACTTTTAGAATCCGCATTATAATCCTTCACTTCCTTAAAGAGACAGCTGTCTTAATGTTGGTGTCCCTGTTACTATTGACGAGATTCAGCCGCCCTGTGGTCTTGTTATCGTATGATTTGTTTTTTAATGTTCGCTCCAAGTAAGGTAGTCGGGATTCCGAAATCCGGGAAGTTTTGCTTGTCGAATCCGGAATCCTGGGCTCTGGAATCCGGAATTCACGTCAAGGAATCCGGAACGATTGATGGAAATATAGTAATCTGTTATTGTTACCTTTATTATAGGGTGGATATGAAGGTTGGATCTTCAGTGTTTCTTCTTCTGTTGCTGGTGGAACTATCTCCGACTTTGGGCCGGCGAAAATCAACTCAGGCACCTGGAAGGAAATGTCGTGGTGGAGGAATTTGTAAATATAAAATACATGAACAATCGTCTCGGCCAGTGAATGTTCAACTTTGCGGCAATGATATTATAAAAGCCTTCAGAAACATTTGTAGACTGGGGGTGAAACGAAAGAGCAAACGAGGTAAATAAATAGAACACTTTTGCCATCATGATATTTATGCAAACGACTTCCACCCAGGTGGTTTGTGTAAATGGGAAACACCCAGTATCTCGAACATACAGTCGAACCTCCATGTGCGACCACCGCCCATAAGCGACCGCCAATCCAAGACACCAAGAACTGTTTCCCAGACAAAGCCTTACAGTTGGAACCTCTAGTAAACGACCCGTTCCTGTAATAATAATAATAATAATAATAATAATAATAATAATAATAATAATAACTGTTTATTCACAAATCCAAATCGAAAAAGTGAAAAGGAGATAAAAGAGGTTATCCCTTTCTAGTTTATCTCCTGATAATAAAATACATTAAGAAATAAATTATTTACAACTGTTTAAAATAGTAACTATACATGTATATAAAACATCACACAGTAAAAGAACTTAGTGTTCACTAGAAAAATCTATAAGATAACGTCTCAGTCTGTTCTTGAAAATATTCAAATTCTCCGCCTCAATTCTCAATTCCTCAATTCTCCTGTAAGCGACCGCGAACACTTTTTGGGCCTGAAAGTTGATGATTTTCCATTCTTTTTAATCTCTTGTAAGCGGCCATTTGTTGCATTCTCTGATCTCTATTTTCGCTGTGTGCAGGGGCGGATCCAGGATTTTTTTTAGGAGGGGGTGCACTCGTCTCTTGCTCTACTTCAACACCAATAAACCACATAGTTTTTTTTTGTAGAATACCAGTTGTATTAGAAAACCACAGGTCATCTCTCGGGGGGGGTGCGCACCCTGATGTGCATTATGTTACTCAAAATATACGAAGAACTGAAGTGACAGCATGGAATTATATATATCCTAACTTAGACATTGCATGCAATAAATTACCTTCCATAAAGTAGATGTGTGTGAACCTCTTCTCGGAAGAGACCTCCTGTGGTTCGATCTTGTAAACGACCACCTCCCATAAGCGACCGCTCAGTATTTGCATTTAGGGTGGTCGCTTACGGGAGGTTCGACAGTAGATTAGACGGCTCACTGGCATCTGACGGTGGGAGAACTGGAGTAGGAGATAAATGTTAATACTTTTCTACGTCCCAGTCTTTTTCAGTGCATAGAATCAAATGCCGGGATTTTGTTCATCCGTTTTCCTTTAGAAATAAAGGAGCAGCTTTCATAAAGCGAAAGGACCCGTTTATTCATGATGTTCGTAAACAAAGACTTCTGAAACTGTTACCAGGGACAGGGAAAAAATTGGCCGACAACTGACCGGCACGTTTCCAGTAACGATCCCATCCTGAAACAATTACGGGACGCATTTCGGCTCCGTTTTCCTTTTTGTCACTAAATGGGCCAATCGGATAGCTGGATTCAACTATCTGTGTTGTGATTGGTCATAGTCCCGCTGCGAATCCTTGCTGACGTTTATTTTTAGAATTTTGTTTAAATGTTATAAAGGCTCTTTTAGAAAGGGCATCAATGCAAGGCATAATAAATTCTTTCTATAAGTCATTGAAGATGATTTAAATTATCAATAATTAAGAGATTTTCCTTGCCCACAGATATCAGTGCTGACCTGATCATTCAAACGAAGAATGAAGCCCAAGATTTTCTCTCACTGACGAGAAGAAGAAAAAGATCCTCGACTGATGTGATTGAAGAATGTTGTGGCGAGTGGTGTAGAGTAGAGGAGCTTAGAGAATATTGTCCTTGAACAGGAGAAGGCGAATAATAATTAATGTCGATTCTAGGCGGAGCTTACTTTCCGGGCTTTGTTTAGCCCATTCAAGTTTTGCTGGATGAGAAAGAACGATCACTGAAAATCTTTGTGAATATGTAAAAATGAACAAGCTTTAGGATAAAATATTATATATTTGTCATTTAATAAAAACGTATTGTTAAAGAAGTGGACCACTCAATTTGTGGTTGTTAGATAAATGCCTCGACAACAATGGCTTATAGTCAGTTTCGTGTGGTTAGTTGTGGCGGATAAACGACCATATATGTAAAAATAACAGATATCCTCTTTTACGACTGGACAAATCCTATGAGACTTTATACCTTCAAGCAAGAGAGAATGAGTTAGATCATTCTCTCTTGCTTCAAGCTACTTGAAAGACGAACAATTAACAGTCCAATGAGATCTGACAAGAAAGCATTATTTTACTTCACTTGTTCAGATTTTTTTCATTAGTTTCACGCTCTTTGAAACTCATTTACCTCATTTGGATTACCTTTCCTAGACCAAATGCTAAAAAGTTCTAGGTTTGATTAAAAATTCGGGGCTAGACATAATTCGACTGTCTATCATCTTGAGATTTATTTAATGGGCTTTAATTTTGCTGAATTGAGATTATATTGTTAATTTGCAGTCTTCCAGTCACTTAAATGTCCCTGTTGGTAATGATAGAGTTAATATCAGGGTCAAAAGTGGGAGTTCATCTGTTCATTAATCATGGTAATTTTTACACTAAAACCACCACCCCTATTCCAGTTTCATCAACGTTATTCGGTGACGGATCCAGGGAAGGAGCCAGGGGGGCTCGGGCTTCCTTTTATTTTTAGACCAAATTGAGGCCCGAAAAATTTTTTTAGAGACCGCACCCCCCCTCGCTTATCTCAGGATCTGTATGACCGCCGCCCCCCCCCCCCCCCTTATCTGAAGTTCTGGATCCGTCAATGTTATTATAGTCATGTGACCTTCACTCAGAGACCCCTTTTAGATCATATGCCGATCCAAAAATTAACTGGGATAAAAACCTTTCTCTTTATGGAAATTTTTAGAATCATAACAGAGAGAAAAAAATTAGTCCAAGAAGTCAATTACCATTAATTGAAGCTGATTAGGCCTTAGTTATGTTATTTATGGTTTAAATTATTTACCCCCGAGCTTTGACCCTTGTTTTGTACAGATGAACGACGTTCTTCAACGACGAGCAAATCATTAAACATATTCTGTGAAATTCATTGATCATTCGTTAACGTTATGACCAACCGAAAGGTAGTATATTGAATCACATGACATGTATAACTCTTTAGGCTCCAACTACAAATAAACTTGAACAGCAGAATTAACTTTGATGCAAAATCTTGTAGCGCAATTTACATTTGACTCAGCAGATCTCTATCCAAACTGAATGCTTCATTTTAGGGGCTTCCAATAAGTATAGAGCTCAGCAATTATCATGATGATTACTGTCAGCAGGGGTCTGATTGAGTTGGCTCGGGTAAAGGAGAAACAAGGTTCTAGCCGTGAAACACTGCTACATACTGAAAGGGTTGTGTCAAATAGCCCCCTGCTTTCTCCACTAGTTTTGCTCCCCCCCCCCCCCCCCAGGCCAGGCCTGGTCCACCCACTCACTGTTAAGGCAGTCCCTGGACTATCCAGCTATGCCGACCAAGATACACGCCAAGATTAAGCCACCTCAATGTTTGGAGACCACACTGGCCTGGAGTCGGGCTGAGCCCGGCGCTAGGCGAAAACCTCGTGGTCACGTTTTCGAATTCCGACAGGTATGTACCCTTTTTTGACAGCTGTCAATTTACTATAACATGGATGACCGATACTAAGTTAAACACATATAGTATGTGCTTTAAACTAGAGAGTGTGACATTTAACATACGCTAACATGAGGAGGTGGACGAAATTACGTACATAAGGACGATTTTGTCACTAGCAAAACTTCTTGAATGCATAGATAACGAAATTTTCCTACCCATGGTTCTCTGCTGCACGTTCGAGAGCGAGAGAGAAAATGATCTGCTATGAGAAAACACATTCATCGCTTTCTTCGCTCACCCGTCTTTTTCGAACCTTAAGTTACTTAGAAATACCGGGCGCAAAATAATATGCATTTTATTGACTGGAAGGTATAATACATACAATAAAGCTTAAATGATTTCTTTATAATTCTTGAACATCAACAGCACTTTTCGATTCATTCTCCTAATTTCTTTAAAAACAGTACTCTTTGAGTTCCTCTATTCTACAAGTTTCAACACAGCATTCTTCGATAACGTCTGTGCCCTTTCTGGCTCTCTTTTGCTTTCTAAATGAGAGAAAGCTTTGAGCTTCTTTCTTCCCTTGAATGAATAAGTCAGTGGTTATATCTGGTGGAAGAAATACGAAAAATGAAGCTTATTAATTTTGGTAAAGTTTCGTTAATTTATGTCCTAAGTAGCCGGAGAAACAAAAGTTCAAACCTGGAAAATCTAATGATTTTGGTGTCAAGAGGTAATATGACACATACCTCCGGCCATACAATGAGGAATTGATATTAAACTTGAGAGAGTTATTTGTATTCAAATTTTTCAAATGTTTTGTTGAAAACATTATTTTATTACATGAGATTGTTTACCTACAAGGAATAGGGTCTTAATGAGTTTCATGGGCGATTTTCGGATTCTCTCAAGGGTGCTAAGTGTGTGAAAGGTTTCAACCTTTTCATATGTAGATTGAGTATGTATGATCGTCCAGGTGAACGCAGTCCTGAATACGACTTTTGCTGACAGTGACTGACGTTTCAACAACCTGTGTAGCAGTCATGTTCAGAGTCACAATATATGAGTGCATCACGTCCGTTTGATGGTAATAAATTCTGGTTACGTTATTGACTGATTGGTCAATTAGTTGGCTATGAAGAAACGCACCAATCATCATTTATTACGAGTTTTCATAGCCAATAACAACACGGCTTAACTGGCAGACGATCAATAACATCGCGACTTAATTGACCCATCAGGTCAATAATCAGAGTTTCAGATTGATAACATCAACTGAAGTAATACAACTCACTTTTACTCTGAAGTTAATTGACTACCGCACAGGTTGTCGAAACGTCAACTCACTGTCAACAAAAGTCCTATTCAGGACTAGTACGTTCACCCGGACGATCATACTTAACGTACTTATGCTGCTAACTGTGTTGTTTAAATGTGTCAGATGGAGCGGTTTCTGTTCAGTGTCATGAATCCAAGTACAGAAAGGGACTGTCAAATGAGCCAATCAGGCCTCAAAGTAAATATATGAAGCCCAAACGCGGGAAATTTAAACGCACGAATTCTGTTTTTAATTCTGGTTGATCGAGAGTCCAGACGGTCATTTGATAATTTTTCGGCCAATCATGATACGAAGCAAGGCAGAACTATAATTACCCTCGAACACTTTATCTGAACGGCCACTCTTATTTGAAGTCTTGGTGAATGTTCTCTCTTAGAGGTCCTCAGGTTAGCTCTGGTGGCAGTTTCCTTAAAGAGAATCGTGAAGGCGAAGGCTGCAATCTAAACAGTCCCTTCGTAAAAAAAGCTCCAAAGAATATTAAAGGTGATCCTACACGTGACAATTCTCAACGACGCTTTTTAGCCCAACGCACTGCAGCGTACATCGCTAGGACATTATTTCGACATTGTTGCAACATTGTTAAAACATTGCAACCGCAGTGTTGTGCTTATGTCCTTACAAATCGTCCAGTGTAACATTACCTTCATCAACCGAATGCTCTCTCCCTTAAAACGTAGAATTCGACTAAAATATAGGCATTAGTTTGTTTAAAGTGTATGCTGAGGGTCACCAATAAGGTTCTCTAATCTCGTTATTCCGACCCAAAATTTCGTGCAATCTAGTAATCCCGAGGGCAATTTTTGGCATTCCTCCTCCCACGCATGCTTCACTGTAATTTTCAGGGAGTTATAATAACTCCTCTAGTGGGGCTAATTTAACTCCTGACAGTGGAGTTATTTTTCGTGGAGTTATTTTAACTCCAAAAAAGAGTTTAAAGAACTCTTTTTCAGGAGTAAAAGTGACCCCAGATATTGAGGAGTTAAAATAACCCCAAAAAAGGAGTTATCCTGTACCTAAAATTTTTACTCCACTTTCAGAGTTAAATTAACTCCAAAAAGAGTAAAAACAACCCATGTAAGGAGTACAAGTAACCCCATTTCGGAGTAATTTCAACTCCAGACTGGGAGTAAAAAGAACTCTTTTTCAGGAGTAAAAATGACCCCAAATTCGGAGTTAAATTACGAGTTAAAATAACCCCAAAAATGGGGTTATCCTGTACCTAAAATTTTTACTCCATTTTTGGAGTTATAATAACTCCCTAAAAATTACGGTGAATACCTAATCCCGAATTTTAAATAAGGGAAAATCCGGTATCCAAAAAACCTATTGGGACCCTCTATGCTACTAACCTCTATTGCGTCCCCTTTTCGCCCACACCTTTTCACCACAAATAGCCGAGTAATAATCCATTATCCTGTCGCCACAAAGCCTTGGAAGGTCCACTGGAATCGAGGAATGTTCGTTTACTTTACACCTCGCTCCACCGCATTTCCACCCCAAACTTGGCGATAGGTCTAACAGCAACAGCAGAAAAAACACGATGAATCCAATCAACTTGCTCATCCTAAAGAAAAATGATATTCATTATAGTTCTTAATAGCGCGGTTTAAGCATCCCTTCGAATTCCGTACAACTCCCTTTTAAGATGATTCGAAAATACAGAGCTCGCACACGCTCATTTCTTGGTTGATCCCAATCAATTTCGCTCATTCCCTTAGATGACAAGTTGTTCCTGCTTTGTTCAGCCGACTGGGACAACAGCCACCTTTATTTGTTTACAAATAAAAGTAACCTTCATATAAAATAATTTCTGGCAAAATGAACGATATTCTTCGTCTCAGTAATAGACAGTACGACTTGCTGATCGAAAATAATGACTTCGATAGGACGAAACGAGGAACACATCGACCCTTTAAGATGTCAAGTGTCTTAGCTCTTCGTTACATCGAGTCTCCAGTGAGTCAGTGCTTTACTAAGGACAGCCGGCTCCCAAAACTGAATTCATTATTTTTTCATTGTTAAAGTCGGGCCGAAGTCTTAGTTACTTTCTGAGTTCAAATTAGATCAGGTGCTGTTATAAGGAAAATTGCAGTTAGCACGTTAAGAAGTAGTAATTTGGTTTAGTGCTTAAAAGTGATTCTTTTTCCGGTTTTGTGTACTGACGCATGGTCACCGGCAACTATTGGAAACGGAGTGTTTGACATTTGGGCGTTGACGAGTCCAGCATAATAAGCCAATGGTTTAATGGTTTACCATCCTACCAAGAAAATATAACTCAAGAGAATTGGACATAGTCAATGAGCCGGATGTATAATATTATATATATTAAAAAAAGTTGGTCTGAGAACTGTCCTATTTTCTTTTTCTTTTCGTTACATTTTAACTGCTCACGACTAAGCTTGTACTGAGGCGGATCATTTAAGTGATTTAAGTAAAACTTTGACGGCCCATTGTTTTTTTTCAACTAAATCCTTTTCCTCCATGACCATTCATGTATACATGTATTCAGACTTACCTAGGGCCAGCTAATGACTGAGTATTTCCAACCAAGCGATGATTAATCTGGATGAGTGCGACTACTAAAAATGAACACTCTTCATATTACTTTCTTTAGGGATACCACTTCTGAAATTAACGTTGTATCCACTGGAGTGAATATATAGTGCCGGGAGGCACCAGAAACGATAAATAATTAAAATGAAACTTAATTTAGTTTACGAAATCAAACTTTAATTAGGAAATTATATTCCTTGATCTCAATAGAGAACACACTTCACTTTTATCTTTTACTCGGACATTGTACAAGGTGCATGCAGCCTTTTTTATCTACGGTTGTCGTGACCTTTCACATCGTGAAATTATGAATTACACGAAGGTTATTCTTTTTAATTTTTTCTTGACATGTTCAACCGTCTTTTAGTTGGTGAATATTAAATTTTAATATTATTATGGTAAAAATGACAGCGACAGGATTATTCAGATTGTCTGTCATTGGGGGCATAACATCAACATTAACTAAAGTTAAATTCGGCGCTTGTACCGTGCTGACGATATGAATACAGCAGACAGGAAAGTGCCGCAAAATGCATGACTGTATGTTTCAATTTTCGTTTCCCTTTCTAGACGACTAACATTATGTCTTATCAGTGCCGATAACAAGTGTTCTTTACAACGATGGGTTTTAGAGCCAGGTCTTAATTCATAAGCATATGGCAATATTTTTTCCTTTGTGAAGCGGAACTTTTTCCAATATTAACAGTCTTTGTTGTATAAAGAAGTTTCGAGAATTTTGATTGAATTATGTTGAATGTACTTAAAACTGCCCCAAATTTGTTCCTTTGTAACATACTTTATCAAGAGACACTTCTTGTAAAGGAAACAGCGTTCTATTAGAATAAATACTTTGCAATGTTTCGTTTTGGTAAAAAATTTGGTAAAACTCAAGCTTGAATAAAATCTATTTGAACTTATGGCTTTTTTTTTTGTCCTTATTCAGTCCCTATTCACAGACTAGTGTGCTCAACTCAATTCGGATTCCGGACTTTCACTTTAACTATCACAAAAGAGGTCTGAGAAAAAACAAAGTTTACTCCTAACTATAAAGAGATTGGAAAAAATAAAACTTTAGAAATGTTGCCATTTGAGAATAGCTCCCATTAGTGAAAAGTCAACACGACGTTTAAGGACCGAGCGGAAATACGGGAGCGAATGAAACGAAACTTTGGTAAAATTACAAACGCAACAACTGATCAACTTGTAACCTTAACCCTTCAAAGGGTAATAAAGAACTGTCCAGTGTTCTTTCGGCATTGGGTGAAAATGCGCACAAAATCGTACATGTATCATTCCAAGCGAACGGAAAGAGGAGAATGAACTATGTTGAATTTAACATGAGAAGTGAGAGACAAACCCATTTTTCTTTTTCTAGCTATGATGATTAATGCATGAAGCCTGTCTCCTCCCCACATACACAACGATTAATTTTTGCTATAATCGTGTTGCAAGTTATTTTGGCGTTTGCCTTTTTCTTTTAGTTCCTAACTTTACATCAATGTAAATTTTCACAGGGAGACTGAAACTAATATTTCAACTTCCAAAAAGAAAAATACTACGATGCTATGATTAGATAGGCCAGAATGTTTCGAATTGAAGTGAATATTGTCTATAAAGCTGTCTTTTGTGCGCTCCAAGGGTAATTTCAAGTGGTTACAAGTTTCTGATTGGTTATTAAGAGTGGGTGTTAATTTTCCATCGATGCAAATTGTATTATTTGGTTTAGACTTTATTTTCATTTGTTTTGGGATGTGGTAATGTATGATAATGATAAACAAAGGATGATTAAATTCAAACCAAGGATAAAGTTGAACCACAAGATATCAAAGTGAGTCCAATTCATAGTTTTGTTCCAACAAGAGCTAAACTGCGATAGTTTTAAACAAAGTACAGCTTCTAAGGTTGAATTTGTCTCTTTTGGAAATAACCCCAGGAAGTGATCTTGGAAATTTCTTTAATAATTAAAGGTACTTCCCACGCCAAAGAGTCATTAAATATTACACGTTAACCTTGGTTTCTTCAACCATATAATTTCATTGTTTCATATGAAATTCGTTAAAACATAAATAACTAAAATCGAATGCTTATGCTTTTGTTATTCAAATAATAATAAATAAATCATAAAGCGTCCCTTTATCGTTTGTCTCGTGAAAGTTCCTTAGTTATTGATCGCGACCGACATTTCGACTGCTTACAACCTCGTTCCCTGGGCGGGCTCTATGCTTCAAGCAAGAACCCTGGTTGCAACTGGTCACGTGGCTCCGAGAATCAGCGGGCCAAAAATAAGGGAGGGGAAGAAGAGCAAATTATTGTCGCTATGACAAAAGTTACTCTGTCGGGACCCGAGAGGAGTTTGCCGCCTCGATTATGATCAGCTGATGGCGTGGGTATTTGAAAATGTCAACAACACCGAAAAAATAGTAATGCATAATGCAAGAGAGAGAACGCTGGGAATGAGTTTGGCTATTCACTTAGCTTCTTGGTGTATCGTGCACCAGCCGTGAATTAACCAAATCGGAAAACAACATCATAATCTTCTAACTGCCGTCTAGGTGCTGCTTCATGTGAACCTGACTTTGGCATTATCTTTTCATTTTCATGAACTGCTCGTTCGAGTTATGCAAATTTACGAAAAGCTTTATAGTTGTACAAGCAAATCGAGCAAGATTTTCCGTATCCTGTTGGCAGGACGGCGAGCTAATCAGACCCTCTAGACATCAAACCCTCTAAACAAATAGCCAGTTTTCACGCTTCAAAGTGTTATCGTTACTAGTAGCTGAAAGCAACCCAGTTTGCTCGCAACTTAGAAACTCAACCGCCATTTTGAAGCAATAATTTTCTCTTTACCCCTCCCCCCACCCCCCGCTCCCACCCAAAAAAAAAAAACAAAAGCAAACAAACAAAAAATGGTGAGCGAAGCAAGCCGGGCGGTGGACTAGGAAGGGGCACTTGCCGATTTTTTTTGGCTTTTTTTTTGCTTTTTTCTCATTGCGTAGCCTGGTCCCAGGCTAGTCAACGAAGGAAACTCGGGCGCTAGCATTTACATGAAATAAATCAACAGCAATCACAAACTCATACGTTCACAAAAGCTCGTTCACAAGGGCTGCTTTTATTTCTGTGGGATTCTATTCACTGACAGTGAATCTTGACATGCAGTCAATGGGGAAATATAGTATAACATAGCGCGCGTGCTTGCCCTATATAAATCCTATTAAGCCTGTATGAACGAAATATTTATTTAAGCACGCCCGCCAAGAAGCTGGAGTTGCTCTCGGCTGCGCCTCGGCAACTCTTACGCATCTTTCGTGCTCTTCAAACTTCCCGCGTGCATCCATAACTCGATATACGCACGTTAAGCATGAATAAATTCTTAACTGTTTAGCTAAAGAATAAAGCAGAGTGATATGATGTTTCGTCTAGCCTGTGTAAAGCCACTCCCTCTGTGATCGATTCTAACAAAATCTGGTGATTTTGTTTGAAAGGAGCAAAGGGGGCGGCTGGACACAGGCTATATTTCAACTTGCAAGTTGTTTAAATGCCTTAGGGTTGATTTCCAGTGTCGCGTAATTTTTTTTGTACCCTGCTAAACTTCTCGTTCAAGCCAGTCAGCACTGACTTGCCTCTGCTTTATTTATGTGATTAAAATTTACGTACGTTAACGTGCGTTGTCAAAAACGCGTCAATTGAGCTGAAACTTCATACTTAGTACGTTTATTTGGTTCATATTCAAACACATTTCACAAGAATTGAACTAAAATAAAAAGTGTCTAAATTTTGGTTTATTTGACCTTTATGGTGGATTTTCACTCTCGCGTAATTTTTACGTGTTTACGCACGTACATCATTTTTTACGCGCGTAAATAAAACAGAGGCAATGTATGGAAGGTCGCGCGTAAACGCAAAAGTTGAACCTACCTTTTACGTTACACTGCCTCTATTTTATTGACTCACGTAATTTAATTTTAACTGTATACCGGCAGCTTTGTTAATATTATGTCTATTAGGTAGAATATATCGTTAACTTGTCTTAATTAGAAGCGTCAAATATTAAGACTTCCACATTTTACGTACTCTAAATGACGATGGAAAATTCAACATTAAGCCCGCATAAAGTTCTGTAACTAATCGACAGTTTGCTCCGAAAAGTGATTTCAACATTCATAACACAGCATCTTTTCACCAACATCACCACCCTTTAGGATGTAACCGTATTTGATTCTGAGTCGACTGACATGAACGGCGAGTCTTTAAAGCTACTGGAGGGCGTGTAGTAGATACTTCTCGTGCTAGTTGTTGAGTTCTCGGAGATAGCTGTAGGGCTCTTGTGCGTTTCTAAAGAGTTGTGAATTTCCGAAGTGTAAGATTTAGTAACATCCTCATCAAGTAGCTTTTGTCTTGGATTTGATTCTTCTTCTTCGGGCTCCTTATTCTGAAAACGGGGCAACCGGTTAGTGACCAGAAATATGCATTCTATGCATCCACTTTATAATTTTTGAACCCAATTCAACTACCGAGCATTATCTCACTACCAATCTTACTAATAATCGTTAAATTTCAGCAGTACTAAAAAACAAAATAAGCAATATACATTGTATAAAAGTACTGTCAGAGGCATGGAGAATTGGGACAGAAACCTGGCGCCGCTTGTTCGCGCCTGTTTTCGCAGCTTTTTTGTTAATTCCTCGCGTTAAAGGGGCTGTGTCACGGTAGTCCAGTTCATTTTGTTTAAATTTGGCAATTACTCACCCTCAATCGCTATGGAACTTCAAGTAAGCAAAGAAATCTCATGCAAATGACAAAATCAGAAATTCGAAACAAACAAATATGTCTCCTAAGCATTATTTTTGAAATTGCAAACAGCAAAGAAAACTGTTAGGCTCAATAGTTTTCACTGAAAACCCTAAATTCAATCCGTTTCAATCTTCTTCAGTTTTACCCATCCGTAAAGCGGTCAGCGGTCAGCGGTCAGCGATGATGATGGCCGCGTTTTAAAGGTAATCAAATAAAGGTAACATGTAAACCGGGTGGTAAACGTGATGAATCTACTACAAAACAGTCAATATTCCTGGAATATATTCCTCTTTAGGGAAAACATCTGAGTTTTGCTGCAGCTCGTTTGCAGTAGAACACAAAACTTTACCATGATCGACCAGGAGAAAAATGAAATAAAAAAATTTACATTTGGAACCCCACGACTACCCGGATTTAGTGTGTAAACATTGATTTACGTCATCAGTATGGAAATTTTGTCGCCAAGGCGCCGACGTCCCTCCTGGTAAAACGTCCCAAGCGGTGAGGAGCAAGGAAAAACGGCTGTATTCGCAGGCTACCGCGACGTTGCAAGGAAAGAAATGCAAGATGCAGTCGATGGCGCAGGATTGAATGGACATGTAACGATCCATTAAAACAAACCAGGAAAAGAAAGAAACAAAAAAATGGAACGTGATGAAGACTGCGCCTGGAGTAGTTGCTGAAGTAAAAAAAAAAGACGTTTTTTTTTAAGCCTAAGCTAATCTCATGGGTGTTGCTTGCCAAATATCATCGTCATGTTCAGAATATTCACTTCAAGATTATTGCTTGTTATCGATTACTACCGATTGCTATGGATTTTTATTGATCGATAATAATCGATAAATTATTTTTTTCTGCGATATCAGTTGGCGGATTCAATCGACTGATATCGATGATATCGATTGATTTCCGATATCTATTTCTATCGATTAACTACGTCTGGAAAAAAAAGAGCCAGAAGCGTTCCTGTTAAAAAGCACATTTATAATAAGAACAAAAGCCAGTGCTGAACTTGGCAAGTACGGTTTGGATAATTTGAGTCTTTTTGGCAAAACGGCTGCTTCAGCTAAATATGTGTTTTTGGCTGAATCTTCAAGGAAGAAACGGTGAAGGATGGTCACAGAATCGTTAGCCAGCAACTCCGCTGACCATATGTCTTCCCCGTCTCTGTGAGTTGCGAAAGCAGAAAAGATGACTTGAGTTTAGTTTTCGTTGTCGTAGCTACGACCATTTTTGTAGAGACAGTTCTAACCAGTGATGCATGTGTTATAACAAATTATTGGATTGTTATCACGACCTACGATTTACACGAAAGACAAGAGGTTGCGACCGATGAAAACAACTGATATTCGCCTTTGCCCTTCCTTCAAAACTTCAAAATTCATTTTTACCGAAAACATCCATCCCGGGTGAAGTCAACATCAGTGTCTTCGCGACAGTTTTCTTATTTACAGTCTAACGAAACAGTTTTATCGGAAGTAGAGCATTACAATTATCGTGCCGTCGATTATCGTGTTCAATTCCCCAACAACTTAGAATTTAAAAATATACTGCCTTCCAAAGTAAACGATCACAAGCATATGTGTGGAGAGAAGACGTTGTCACGGATTTTAGACTTAACAAGCGAGAAAATACCTTTTATAAACACCTGAGACACCTAAGTGAAATCTCTTCTCTTACCAATATACCCTGAAGGATTACGAAAACTTCTAAGAAATTAAACCGCGCATAAAATATTAAAATATTCAAAACACAACAAACCTCTTCGCAACAAGAGCAAGTAAGAATTGAACTCATGAATTTCCCCATCGACATAGAACTTTTCGGAGCTTCGTCGTCAGGAAGAACAGGCTTAAACCGTGTTTAGTAGAGAAAGAAAACGTGAAGCGACTTATTCCTTCCGTGCGTGGAGCACAATTACCATGATGCAAGAGTCAACCTGATGATGGTCACGTCACGTCTGTGTCACATGAGTGTCACGCTATGGAGGAAGGTCTGTAGAGAGTATTTTTTGGCACGAGCTCCGGATCTTCACGCAATGTATTTGAATTGGATAAGTTTTTTTTTTTTTTTTAATTGTTGTTGGTCATTCCACGCTAGCCAGAATAATTTTCAGAGGCTTTGATCATGAAAGCCTCGCTTTTAAGATGAGTTGTGTAAACTTTAAACGATGTTGAGTAATCTAAGTTGATTATTGACAGCATTTAAAAAAGACAAAATCACGAGCCATTATAGAAATGAAAAGACCTCCTCGAACCTTCGACCTGCCTTCAGCTTCTGGTACTTAATATTGTTATTAGCACGGTAAATTTGCAAACTGAAAGCCCAAGTTGTTCATTTTAAGTGATGTTAATTGCTAAAAAGGTTTCCGGTTGACTACTTCTTATTGTTTTCAGACTGCCAGCCGTGAGCATATATCGATAGTTTCGGTTCTCTTTCGACAAGGCCGCCACGAAGGAACTTTTGCGAGGAAGAATCGCTGAAGCCCATGAGATTTAATCTAACTGAGGACTTATCGAAACTTTTATTGACTTCAAGATCAATCCAAGAAGATCGTTCTAATAGGTAAAGATTTGAGGTCAGTAATTTTAATTCAATGCGTGGTGTAAACAATCTACTCTGCTGACTTAAAATACTCAGAAATAGCGATCATGCTCTGATCAGATCAGTTTTAGGTAATATTGGTTTGAAAGGGACTGAACGTCATATTCCGTGTACTGTGATTATGAGCCAAATGGCGCCTAACAAATAGTGGAATGTACGCTTGAAATGTCAGAAGCAGTATACCCTTATTTTTAGCGACGATTGATTTCATACGTCGTTGATTATAACACTGTCATTTTGGTGAGCATATTTCTGGATTATCTTTGACTATAAATTTATCCACTTATGCCCGAAGATAAGAACCAAAACGGATTGAGAGAAAGAGTTAACTTTGGCTTACTTCAAGTGGTACGGGCTGAATCGTTGACTCCTGTAAAATGCAAATCTCGCGGAATATGTCTTCGCTTAACCGCAATATTTTTTGATAGAGAATTGACAGGTTTGTTACTGATCTAACAGGAAGCAAATGATTTATTCGAATCATTTATTGGCTTTCTCGTACACCGTACAGCTGTATGCCCATGCACGATGCATGGACTTCTAATGCGCTGTCACACGCGACTAAACATACAAGATTGTTTTCTTACATTTGGCAACAATTATTACAATTGATTTGTGCTGGGCCAGGTTGATTAACAATACAAGCACACGGCAGGCGTGGACTGGGTGTAAATATAAAACTTCATTCTGTGAATAGTCACAAAGCTAACGTTTCTATACACTTTTCACAGGCATATCAAGGAGAATTATAAATTTACACGGATGGCAGGGCTCTCCTTCGACCAAATTAACAGCGCCAAGAAGAACCTAAGGAAAGCTCCTCCACCAAAGGTTCCTTTAGGTACTACCGCAAGTCAAAATGGCGATTTCTCATCTGATGCAGGCAACGTATCTGTAGCTGCGTTTCGAAATAGATTTGAACAAAAGCAATCGCCAACATCAAATGGACAATTTGGCTCTCCTTCACGTTTGAGTGGTGATGACAGAAGCTCAGGAGAAAACATTACGTCACCAAGGGCTAAATTTGAGAAATTTGAGCCGAAATCTGCAAAGAAACCTCCACCACCACGGAAGCCACCCATCGGAGCCAAGTCAAGTAAAATGTTACGAAGACTCGATGACAACAGCAATGCTTTGAAAGGAGAACCAAACCGTAAAGAATTACCACTTTTCAATAGAATAGGTGCGGCACCTCACAAGAAACATAAACCTGCAAACTTAAAATTCAAACTTGACAAGTACAAGGACAAAATTGTACAGTCAAACGGTACCAACCATACTGACAGAGGGTGCAACGAAGGTAGGGCACTACTGATGAGAAATAAATGAGTTAAAACAGTACAAGAAAAATAAATCAGTTAACATATTTTTCGATTTACCCATTTAGTTTTGTTTATGTTGGATTTAGCTCTGAAAATAACAAGAAAAAAGGCTTTAGAACACCAGAAAAAGGATTAAAAAAGTTCATGAACATCTGGGCCCAGGACACGTTCCATGTGCCGGATACGAAACCTTATTAACCTCCCTCGCCTGTTGCTCGCTCAATTGCTTAGAGCACTGCACCGATGTCTCAGAGGTCAGGCTTCGTATTCCGAGTAGCCTGAACTATTTTTCAGTTTCAGGCTTTCTTTACGTACCTGCATCAGGTGCGTCTTCAACTGTGATGATCGTCTTCACAATATATGAAATTCAGATATTCATTATTTCATCTTCATCTCAATTTTTGCCCCCTCATACCCCCATATCGGGTATATTACCCGATAAGGGTGAAAACCTACGTGCGATCTACGATGACGATACTAAGAGAACAGCTAATCCCTAACTCTAATGCACACAAGCCTAGAACAAGCGACAGATATGACATGCAGAGAGATACTCACGTCTCTTGTTACTTTAAGACATATAAAATAGAGCTCTTCATCTTAAATGGAATTCAGTCAAAAAGGCCAATCACGGTCAGAGTCTTCCCAGATGCTAATTAATGACAGTATGCTCTTTAACTGAAGAAGAGCCCGTTCGTTAATAACTCACTGCTCATTAACTTGTTGAACGCAAAATTTTGGAAAAAAGAAGAGGCTCTCCTGTAAGTTGTTTTTTAGTAAGTGGGTTTCTATTATGGTTTCATCACTCCCCCCCCCCCCCCCCCCCACCCCTGTCCGCACCTTCAGGAATTCTACATCTCGGGCTCAAAAGGAAAAAAATGGCTGGCTACGCCCCTACCAGTTCTAACTCAATGCCATGGGTTAGAGCGTTGCACCGGTATCGCAAAGGTCTTAACAGCGATGATGAGTTTTTTGCATTTATTTCTTCATTCATCGGTTCCAATATATGAAAAACATATTTCATCATTTAGTAATACGTAATCCATACGAAGGCCATCAACTGACGTCATGCCGCTCTTTTGTTGCAGAAGAAGATCAAGACATTTACGATGATGTAGAGTCTACGCTTCGTGGGGATCTAGGTAATCTAAATTAATTTCCTTGTTCGATTATTAAACAGATCGTTTTCACACACTCTGTTAGCAGCTATGCAAAAAGAAGTCTTTACATGAGAGAAGATTTCAATCCTGTTGAAAAGCTTTTGGCAAACCAAAATGGCCGCTGTTTCAATATGGCTGCTATGACGTCAGATGAAAACGATCTATTAGAATCCGTTTCCCTGTTCTACTTGTTCGCTTTCCGCAAGCTCTTTCCTCCGCATGCGCAGAGGCCCCCGCTGGGTATTCCAATAAAAATAGCAACAATCGAAAAATAGCCTCTGCGGAGGAGAGAGTTCCGCAGGTACATAGTGAAGTCTGGGTACGAGATTACCTGTCCCGGATGAAGCGGCTACTTCAATAACATGAGCAGAAGAGTGGGGTATACCTGCTGCGCCTTTCCGCTCACTCTCTTCTTTGTTTCCCTTCCCCTCTCCCCTCTGGTCGTCACTCAACCCTAACTGGGATGTTAGATTTGCTGCTTTATATGACTCGGAGATGGGGGATGTTTTGGGGAGGAGAGGGAATGCGTTTGTGCAATTTTAAACAACAACTAGTGACAACGGCAGTACAAACGAACAAAAGAACAGACTGAAACAAACCAACAACAACAGCAACAACAAATTAAACAGAAACATGGTGTTTTTAATAAGCTATACAGCAGAATAGTCCCCTCTAGACGTTTTTCTCATGACTAACTGTCTGCCGATGAAAACTACTTTTCTCTGTCAGGACCCTGTCAGTAACACATTTTTATTTCATCCAGTAAAGGGAGATATACTCTTCTATATTTATAAGGAGAATTTTACGAAACTTTTCTAGTTCGCTGCTTTTTTCATCGCTTCATGTTGATTGTTATTTTTCTTGCTCCAGATTATCAGCCAGAGGAAACGTATGAATGCGTATAAAATGCTTGGCAAATTAACTCCGAAAGGCTCATCATGAACATACCACCAGTTCCATGACGTTCACGAAAAAGATGAAGATATACTCCTCAACAATTCTGCTGATGACAATGCCTGTTATAATGAATTTATTACCAATTTGAAAAGAAACTGAAACTTTTACCCGCAAACTACCCAAATGTAACGTTGGGAAATATTGCTCTTGGTCAATAATTTCCGTTAAATAATTTCAAATTGCCAGTACCGCTGACAATGATTTTATCAACTTGAAATAATCAACGCCATCTAGAAAGGTAGTCCAATAACTATATCAAAACAAACAAGTGCTGGGTATTTAACGTTTCAAAGTATATCTTTTTTTACTGTGAAATAGATTTAAAAAACGACCAGAAAACCGAGTTGTGAGAACGAAAAAGCTCCCATGGAAAATTTTTGCAACAGTACCACAGTGAATCGCCGCATGTAAGGGAGTACAAGTCAGGACTTCTTGGATTCTGGATTCCACAGCGTGAAATCCGGATTCCGGATTCCAACCGTTAGTCAGGTACGGATTCCTTGAGCTGTAATCCGGATTCCAAAGCCCAGATTCCGGATTCCACAAGAAAAATTTCCCGGATTGTGAAATCCGAATTCCCTTACATGGGGCGATTAGAAAGATTACCACAGAGGCGAAAACAATCCATCTCACATGTAAAGTAGCCCAGGTCCACTGCCTTACTTTTTCCCAGTTCTCCATCAAAGATAATAGGGGGCTTAAGCAAAGGCAGTGTAAAGTTTTTAAGCAAAGTTTTTAAGCGATGCACCCCAACCGGAAGTCAGGCATTTTCCCTTTTGATATGCCTTAAAGCTACCAAATTTGCTAAGTGTCTTTACTCTTCTGAAGGTGTAAAAATCCACTTCCGGTTGATGGGCGCCGCTGGAAAATGTCTTTGCTTAAGCTCCGTAAACAACCTTCCACTCAGAAATATATTAGGATACGATTTGCTTAAGTGCCACACTGAAATGTATTTTCCTTTAACGTCTGCTTTATTTAATTATTATACACACTCACACTCTTAACTCTATTAGAGCTCACCGATACGGGAAAGATAATACACACTTTACAGAGTCTGTTAAAATATGAACCAGCCTCTGAACGCTCGGTCACTTTGTACAGGGAGTTTATTAATAAGCAACCACGTTTTTGAGCGACGCCGGTCAACCAGAAATGAACCTTTTGCAATCTTGCGGCGTGATTTAGACCAAATTTTCAGGCAAATCGTCTATAAAAGAGTAAAAACACTTAGTAGTACAAATTTGGTGGCGTCAAGGAACATTAACATTGAAAAGGACCCACTTCCGGTTGACGACTCACTTCCGGTTGACGTACGTCGCTCAGAAAAGTCGTTGCTTAAACTCCCTATTGGTTGATTTTCACATGACGTCACTAAAATTCAAACTACAAAACTATCGATCCTACTGAGATTTTACTTTCATGATGAATTAGAGCAGCTGAAAACTAATGTTCATACAAATTTTCGCCTCAAAAGGGTTCTTGGTTTTGTGTTACAGTGCGCTTGAATTTCTTAGCTTTTGCGTGACGCGACTTTTACATGACGGCCGAGAGAGCTGTAATGTAGGTTTAAAAAGTGACTTATTTTTGGAAAGTTTGCTATTTAAACCGTAAAAAAGTATCACTTTGACGTTTATGAGTTCCTCGAGGGATAAATTCACGCTTTTGTAGCAAAACTCGGTAACAGATGTTTCTGTTGGTTTCCGTCCGCCATGTTGGTGCTCACGGGATGAGCATCAGCATGGCGTCTCCATACAAATCTCTATAAATTTGGGTAAACATTTCTTCTGATATGTCGTATACGAAATATTCCTCTGACCTGAATCTTAGCGAGGGTCTTTGCATATTTACCTCCTTTCATTCCCCAGATTCTGGCCTTAAACTATTGAACGGTTTTGATATTTATTTTGATCTATTTTGAATGGCGTGACACTGAAAACCAGCGATAGTACTTGCATCGGTGCCAGTGAATTTGAAGTATTACAAGCAATACAACAGGAATACCTTTTTTCCAACGGGGGTGTCATTTAAACGCGGGGTAGGGGTTGGGGCCGGGGACGGACCGGGGTCGGAGTCTATCTTTTTGTAGAGAATGCTGTTTTATGGTTAGGGTTAGGGTTAGGCACGGGTTTCGTTTCAGGCCGGACGCCGGACGCAACGTCCGGTTGTTTGACATTTCACACCCGAAATAATAATTTTTTTAAGTGTGAAAATCATATTTTTTCATTTATTAACCAAAGAAAGACTTGACTCATATTTTACTCACTTAGTGATGTAATGCATACAATCGAAAAAAAGAGATGATTCCTGTCATAATTCCGGTTACCCAATTCCGGTCCAGGGAACGCAGAAAATTGCATTTTAGATAGTCCAATTTTACAAATTTCACGGGAGGGGGGGGGGGGCATGCCCCCGGACCCCCCTAGGAGTTCATGCCAGCGGCGCGAACGGTGCACGTCCGCCAGCTGAACCACTGCATCCGACACTAACTCTAACCCAAACCTAACCCTAAAACAGCATTCTTTTTAAATAATGATAGATCCCGACCACGGCCTCGGTCCCGGCCCCGTACCCCGACCCCGCGTTTCACTGACACCCCCACGACGGAACTACGCAGGCTACATTCCACGGACCTTATTTTTGACATGAATGAACTCGGTATGGGATCTCGTCCACAATACTTAACGATAAGAATAACTTTGTACAACTTAATCCTCTTTGCCAGCGCAAAGTGGAAAGAACGCGGCAAAAAATAGATTTAGAATCACGTTCGCACGAACCAGCGAAAGTCAGTAGTGAAATACGTGACTAGGTTGTTCCTTTGCTTAGCGTTTACTGATCTTTACACCTATGCATCTCAGGTTCAAGGATTTTTCTAAATATATGTTGATTTCCTAATTTTAAAAATTGCGAACTTAAATCTGATGTTTGCCTTTCTTTGATCATGATTCTTAATCTTCGAATTCCTTATGAGATCGAAGCGCGAAGTAGAGAACTGGTCGGCGAATATGAATAATCTACCTACATCTGCATGAAAAATATGCAGCTCTTGCGTACAAAGTTTGTATTCAGTTGTCTTTGAGTTACTTTTCCATAACAGTCACATATCCATATTCATCGGGCACGCTCACCGTACCTACAAAACAGGACAAGAAAATCAAAATTCAATAATACTGAATAAATTAATCTTTTTTGCTACGTACTTCTTTCCAAACTGACGTTTGGTTTAATATCATTTTAGTAAAACATAGGCTCTCGAGGTTTGAAAGGACAAGGAATAGCTACAGGTAGAAAAATCGATCATACAAAATCGTAAAATAGAATTGAATAAGGCTAGGTACAGTTTCTGTTTGTTCTCGTACTTACGCTGGGTACAATCAAAGTATGATGGTATAGCAGGATCACAGCTTGCAGCTCGCTGGCGGCGAGGGAATGGGCGCGGTTTCCTTGGTGGAAGCCTAGGAGATCCCACTGACGTGACTTCGAGAGAACTGGAGTCTTGACAATTTAAGTTATTGGGTGAGACGGGTTGTCGCTTAGCTCCATTCATAACTGTGGGAAATTTAAATTGGCACAAAATTAATGACCGCTCTCATTCTCTTTACAATAAGTACATGTACCAGTACCCTTGAAGGGGCTGGGAATCTACAACGAATTTCTAGCCTGATTTTTGAAAACGTTACCGCCAAATGGACCTTTTGCGTCCAACAGTTTTCCAAAGTAGCCATTATAAAAACTAAGAGTGCAACCATTGCTTCTTTCTGGTCTCGTCCGTTTCCTTCTCGCGCCTCGCTCTTTCTTTTTCTCCTTTCCTTTTCCTTAGTTAGTGAGATTTTGGAGCTTAAATCGCGCCCAAAAAGCCTGCACTTTCGAAGCTTTTGACTCAAATGACTGCTAATTTCGTTACGTTGGTTTTCAAAAAATTGGTTAGATTTACACTCACCTTGACTGGGTTTTGGAGGTAACGTCAAAGACTTTTTTGTTTCATGAAAAGAACCACGTTTACTGCAATAAAGACAAAATATACATCGTTGAAATCAATTCAATCGTATGCATTAACACAAGAATCAATAAATTAAAGACAGGAAACGCTCAATACCCGGCCACAGGCAGATCTATCTAGGGAAGATTAGAGAGCTTTAGACTTGAGGACGAGGACGACTATACGAGTACGAGGTTTAACTCAAAGTTTTTTCGCGTTTTCTCGAAGAATATTCAACCCGTAAAGCTTCACTGTACTATTTTTCACCTGAAAAAATACTGCGGTTATTTTTTATTGGAGGCGATTTAGCCCTCTCGCGGTCGCAAAATGATTAAACTTCTAAAAATTGAAAACTTGTTCCCGCCACTACGTCATTATCGCTAAAACTCGTAGCAGAATGACGACGGCTATTACGTTTTCCCACCAAAATGACGTTGGTTCACGCGAGAGTACTACTTAGTAAAGAGAAAATCTCGTACTCTTAGTTGTCCTCGTCTATCCTGTCGGAGTGACTCAGAAACCCAGGAAAGAAGACTTTAGGGAGTTAAAATCCAAACAAATTCCAGGGGAAGCTTCTTCTCAGACCACCCCTCCCCCCCCCCCTTCCTCCTCCTTCCGGTAGAAGCTTGCGCCTTCGGCGCTCATTTAGGAAATCCGGGTCAGTATTTATCCTAGATCCGCACCTGTTAAGCCAGGAATAAGCATACTTACTCATCAAAGTGAGGTCTCCTCAAAGAAATCTACATAAAGAGAATAATTCAAATAGGTAATAATCATTCTATTGTTTGTTTTTGTTTTTGTTTTTTCTTTTTTTACAATTATCGTGTTTGCTTACGTTGTAATTATTAAAATGGCGAATAATAATAAAGTAATTATTATATTTTTATATTTTTCCTCTCATACTAAGTGTATATTGAAGACTGAAACAACTCAACGCAACAATGTTGCAACGCTGTGTTGCGCTAAAAATCTTCGTTGCGAATCATCCCGTGTAACATCACTTTCATGCATTAAATAACGAACTAAATACACACGTTAGTTAAATAATAACACACGTCAAAAAATAATAAAAGAGAGCTCACGCATATTTGAATAATATGTTCTATATAATATAACACGCTCGCACACAACCTACACTAACTGAAATTGGGCTGTTTTAGCAACAGAACGGGAACGTCATTTGACGACGGGGAAAGCGCGCGGAAAGGACTAAACTCGACTTCCGGTGCCCAATTTGCCACTCTGCCATTGGTCAAGGCAGTTGTTTGATTTGCGCGCGCCGTCGTCAACTGACGTTCCGGTTCTGTTGCTAAATCAGCCCATTAAAGGATATGGTGGCACCATTCAGCCATTGATTGCCAGTCTCATCTCCCTCAGTGAACACTGCTATAAGACTGTAATAAACCCATAGTCAGCTTAGACTAACATTATAAAATCAAGTTCAAACTTACGTTTGGATCTGAACCACTCCATGAACTCTCCATACCTGCTTAGCAAACGGAAAATTGGTTTAATATATAAGAAAAGTAGTAGACTGCGCACAACCGTGTACGAAACTAAACTCTAGTTAAGTCCGCCCGGCGCAGAACAGTGCAGTGTTCTGGTCTCCCCACCTCTGAATCAGGATTTGAGTACGCGCCATGATTCGCCTTTTAAAAAAAGCCTTAGTGGATTTCCCAGTCAGGATAAAAATAAATTTGAAACGCCCTTCCGGTTATTCGTTGAATCCGTTGGAGGTTCAGAACAAGGATCTCAGCACTGCTTCGCAGACGTTTTTATACTTAGGGGCACCTAACTACTGCTTTCTGTGAAGTAGCTGTTCGGAGAAGAAAATATGCCTAGAATTTTCTATTACTTGAGGACCGCTAAAAATTTCTAGATGAACATTCCACTCATGTACAATTTTCGAAGCTTATCTAATAAATTCCCTACGATTTTCTGAAGTTTAATTTTCACATTTCGCATCATAAGTTAGGCTATTTTTCGTAGAGGAAAGGAAACCTAAAGTTTTCAGACTCAAAAATGCAATGGAGAGAGAAATCAAAAAATGCCTCACTTTCGTAAAACTTCAAATTGCATCTAAAATTTTAGGGAAAATAATACTCAAACCATTTGTAATTTCGAAAAGACTCAAGTTTCCGGCTTGGATGACCGAACAGATACAAATTTTATGGCACCGCTTAGAATGCATTTCTAGAGATCTAAGAGTGTACTCTGGAGGGCCTAAATAGTGTTTTTAATGTATTTTGGAGGATACCGTCGTTGGGTGTCCCTGGTACTAATAGAGGTTAAATTACGTCTGCGAAGCAGGCTAGAAGTAAAGTAGTTGCTTGATTATTGTTCATAAAAATGGATTGAAAAAGAGGTGATTATTCCATGTTTTCATGACTTTTCCTCTTACAGATATTCTAGATCTCTTTACAAACTACGACATATGTCTGTTTAACACATCAAAATGAGGCAAAATGTGCGTCACATTGTATGATAACCGTATACACTTCACTGTACCTCTAGGAAAGAAAGGACTTCTTGATCTTGCTGGCGGTTCAGGTGGTTTGTCCGGGCCTTCTTCGGAAACCGTACTGCAAATCCCCAAAAGAAAGAATGAATCGATTAAAACAACGGCACTCGGCGGATTTATATCGACATTGTGAAATTCACGCCAGTCTTCCAAATTTATTTGCCAATAAAAACTAGCTCAGTATTTGAATTAGGTGGGTTTTCCTTAAACTGCTTTCTTATTGCTTAAATAAGAATTCCTGTGGTGTAGGTGAAAAAAAAAATGTTGTTGTTCGTTTATAATTATTTACCTCCTTTATAAAATGCGGTATTAGTATAAATTTCATGCTTCACAGCCGTTAGAGATAAGAATGGCAAACAAATGCAATTAACAGTACCTGAGTGTGATGCATGGGCAGACGTTTTGTTTTACTTTGATTGACTCATTAATTAATAAGTATAACCAGTGTCACACCCACACATTGAGTGCTATTTTTGCGATTCTTATACATTTTAACGTCATTTCAGCGTTACTATGAATAAACAGAGACAGGGTAATCGAATCTGTCTGTTGATCATGAATTTTTTTAATAATAAATAAAACACTTTCTCTAGACTTGCAGTTGAAATGAACGAGTATCAGTGAGTGAGCTACTTACTCAAAATTAAATTGCATCCTGTGAAATATCTAAGCAAGAGAAAAGAGCACACTGATTAGAGCAAACAAACGTTTTAAAACGTAAATATTAATGATATTTTGGATTATTTATTTATCTATTAATAGATAAATAAATAATCCAAAATATCATTAAAAAATGAATAAAAAATAAATAAATAGGTTAAATAGAAAGCTTTAGATCCTAGGACGAGGACAACATATAATTTTAAGATTTCTCTCCTATTCTCTACAAATAGACACTCTGGAAAGCCTCATTGTACTTTTTTTCACCACAAAAGATAGCACACTTATTTCCGTTAAAGGAGGAAAAGTCTTCTCCCGATCGCTAAATCATAAAATTTCTAACATTTGATAACTTGTTTTTGCCATTACGACATTCTCTCTAAAACTCGTAGTAGAATGACGACGGCTACCAGATTTTCCCGCCAAAATTACGTTGGTTCGCGCGCGCGCATTACTTAGTATTGAGAAAATCTTCTTCTCGTAGTCGTCCTCGTCTTAGAATCGAAAGCTCTCTCTAATGAATTAGAGGTAGCACATCCATATAGTGGTGTTTCGTCTGCCATTCATGGTCGAATTGGAATGTGGAAAATGTTGGTTTTTGAGGAAAGGGGAAATGCTGGAACAAACACAAACGTCTTCAACCCGGCCTCCAACCTCCCGGACCACAATACCAGGATCGGATGGCTAAAGCGCTTTATAAGTGTGCGGAGAACTTACGTTTGGATCTGAGCCTCGTCGTTCATTTACCAGTCCTATGCATGTCATAAAAATAAAATAAAAAATCCGTACCGGTTAACGATAATATTTGCGACCAAAAAAAATGCAGTCAATTATAAAATTTGAAACAAAAAAATAATAATAATAAACATACCACTGAAAAACAGCGATGACCTGGGAGACACCGGAGATCTAGGAGGAAGTGGTGGAGCGGAGTCAGGAATGTCGTGTATGGAGTGACGCTTCTTGTTCATTGGGTATGTCTTGGGTGGTACAGTAGGGGCTGATTCGCGGCGAGATGTCTCATCTAGGATCGTTGAAGAATTTCCGCCATTCTGCAAAACATCAATAACTAATGAGACGACGAAACGATCGTCGAGCCACGTGAGGGGAAAACTAAAAAAAAACCCTGATCTTTTTACGCTGTCTCGTCGCCCAATGTAAGGCAATCCGGTTTCCGGATTAGGAGAAATTTTTGCTTGTGGTATCTGGAACCCTGGGCTTTGGAATCTGGAATACAGCCAAAGGAACCCGGAATCCCACTACGGATTGAAACCTGGAATCCAAGTTCCACTGACAAAGGATCCGGAATCCAGTACCTGGAATCTGGAATCCACAGCCTGGAATCCAGTCCAATTCATCAATACTGTCTTGGATTGGCTTACATGGAGCAAATACTGAGTTCCGGCAGACGGCAGTCGAACCTTCGACCTAATGGCTCTACCCTGACTGAAATACTTAGGGCTAAAAGGCCAAGCAACAGTAATTACAGCTAAACTCATATGCGGCAAGGCAGCTTCAGGATTTGAAAAGACCAGAGTGCGCAGGTCAGAGTCTTGGGTCTAGATAGTATCATTGTCTCCACTCCTACCTTGATTGATTCATGGTGCAGGTTAAAACATAAGCTTTAAAATGATTATTTTTGTTTTAATAAGAAGAAGATACACAGATTCACATATCAGGTAAGCTTTTACCTGTCGAGCGCACTTCTGAATAAACTGGCTAAATGTTTTTGCAGTTTCTTCGCTGAGATTATGATTTCGCCAGCTTTCATTAACAGCTTGTTCTGCTATGAAGATTGCTTTCCACATTTCAGGTGTCACAGGTATTTCTGAAAGAAGAATGATATATCACGGTGGCTACAAAATGACTCCTGAACCGCGCTCCTAGAAACTACTTTATTTGCAGTTTTTATCCGTTTGAGATTCAAGTTTGCTGAATTAGGAAAAATCTTTGTATTCCAAACTATGTTTTTTTGTTTTTCGATTTTAACGGTTTTCGACGGGAAAATGACGTCACAGGATTGGCAGCAAACTTTCATTTCATTTAAAGGCGTAATAAATAGGAAATTTTGAAATTCCATGACGACTTAGAAACAAATGTGAATTTTTTTTTTCAAAAGCTCAATTGCTTTGGGAGATATAGAATTTTGAAATGTGCTTATATGTTTCTAAAAGTAGAAACAAAATGGCGGGTAATTGCAAAAATCAAAGCTTAATAACTCTATAACCAATAAAAGTTTTCATATTTTATGTGACACTAAAACTGGTTCATTTCATAAAATGATTTAATTGTCTGGTAATTACTGTCAGACTCGAGACCCCAGCTCCCGTTTTGGCATTAGAGCCCCTGTCTAATTAAATCCATGTCGCATCTTTCCGAATTACCCCTACACTTTTCTCTTTAAATTAATTATGCTTGGAGAGTAAGGAAAATAGTTAGACCCCTGCAAACTTTCACCTTCTTTATAGATATCTCGGCGGAAATAGAATGATCAGAATGATCCGGTTACTCTTTCAGTCCTGCCCAGGGTTCTACCGCTCATGTATACAATTGGCAAAGGCTGGGGCGAAGCTTCCATTGATGAGTATATAATTTACTTCATACGATAAACATGTATCCTTTGCAAAGAAGTTCACTTGGAGTTGAGGCTGCGATCAATTGAAACTTGTGAAAAAAAAACTAGTAAACTTTGACAGCTGTCAATTTAACATATCATACATGTGCAATATCAGGTTGCAGGCTTCCACACTAGCCAGAAAGTGTGACATTTCACATTGGTTTCTGTGTGGTGCTGACCGACGGACGGACGAGCGGACGTATGGTCACGTGATTACCAAAATTTCTCGGATGGATAGATTACCAAATTTTCTCACCATGGTGCTCCGCTATTAATTGTCATACTGCGATGCTCTCTCCTTAAAGTTTTCGTTATACAAAAACAAGATAAAACACAGGACAATGTAAAAAAAAGAGAATGATGGAACAGGACTATGTTGGCAATTACCGTGTTTGGTGATTTCTATATTTTTCTCAACGCTGTCGTAAAAATCCTCATCCTCTGATTCATGAATTGTCAGATCAGTAGAGTCCATCCTCATATATAGATCTTCATTCTCGATATCGTTACATAAGGTCTCATCCTTCGATTCGATTCTATCTTTGTTTCTTTTTTTGGACTAAAATATGCGGAGAAAAGTAATACAGTCAAACGTAAGCAAATTGATAAATATTATAAAGAAAGGTATAGTAGAGTGAAATGAGATAGATCTAATTAATAAGCACAAAAGAATTGCTGTGCTAAAACGTCAGGCCTTCAGTTCTATAAATTAATAACGAGTACGTCTACAAAAATGCACGCATGTTCTTTAACGCCGGATTAGTTTTTTCATTGAATAACCAACATGTTTAAGACAATATGCACCTGATAAATCTGTCATATTGCAAGGTCAGTCGTGGCCTGCAGAACAAAAATTTTCCACCTTGCCATCGCTTAATGTTAATGAAAAGTAAAACTACCTCAAAATCTCGAAGTTCTTCTGAAAGCTCAGAGTGTCCATTTTCTTCTGCTATCTCTTTAGGACGCAAGCCGTCTTTGTTCTTGAGCGCCAGTGCTCTTGATGCTGTTGGACAGTATTGGACAAACGCTGCTATCGTTTGTGTGAGACCATAGGCCGCTGCAAAATGTATCATTGTGGGATAGGTGCTGTCTGCTTGATCTGGTGAAAATGACAGGACAATTCATGGAAAATAAATTTAAAGGAGCAAAAATATCGTTGCCTTAAGCTATGAACAAGAGAGTTATTCTCTCTTGCTTTTATATGAGGATCAATTCTTTAAACACGCCAGATTATGAATGGCAACAGTCTAATTTTTGTGAAAGGTTTAAACTCAGGAGTCATTTCATAAGTCGGTTGAGTATGATCGTCTCGGTGAACGTAGTCCTGAATAGCAAAGTTGTTGTTGACTGTGACTGATGTTTCGACAACCTGTGCGGTTGTCGTCTTCAGAGTCAAAGTGAGTTGTATCACGTCAGTTGATGTTGTTAACTCTGGCTATTGACCTCATTGGTCAATTGATGAACTCACTGCAAAATGGGGTCGGTGGTCTCTAACAAAATCATACTATCACTACATCTTACCAGTATTGCACGTAGGCAGTTGTACATTGACAAAAATTTGTGTTTTTTAAGCTAGGTATGCCAGATTTTCTCTTACGAATATTTAAAACATACCGTTAACTTTTTCTGGAAATGTAGCGTCCAGTAGATGAAAATCGTGTGGTGATTTCCGTTTAATTTTCTGAGCCATGGCTTCGTCAAACTGTTTTATATCAGCGGTGGAAATCCCGAAGGAACTGCACAAAAGCTCTTCAGGATCTGTCACTTTTTCCAACAAGTCCTGAAGAACTTTACTCCGAGAGACAAATTCAACGGAGCATTCGGCGATGAAAGGATCGTAATGTTTATTTTTGTCATATAGGGTAACAGTGGTTTTCTCAGGTGGATAGTACACTGCAAGGAATGAACAAGAACTATTGAAGGTGCTTATGTCAAATCCACTATGTGATAAACCCGATGGTAATCTTCTGTCATTACAAGGAGCAAATGAAGTGGCGTGGTGGTGAGGGTTGCACTAGCTTAGCCTGCGTAACAAGCGTTTCCGTTTGGTTTCGGAGCAAAGAAAGACTGCATGAGGAACGGGATTCTCGGTTTTGGTCGCGCGAGAAATGAAACAAGAGCCAAAAAATGAAAGTGGGGGAGCGCTTTTACTTACGCCATTTTTCGCGCAATCTTTGACTCTCGTTCCTCGTTCGTTGCTCCTAAACCGCACGGAAACGTTTGCTACGCAGGCTAGCACTAGCTCGACTTACAACAATGTGGCCTGCATTCGAGTCCCGGCATCGATTCTATATTTGGGTTGTGTTTGTTGTGCTGGGTTCAGTCTTCTCTTCTCAGAGAGATTCCTTTCCGGATGCTCCAGTTTTTCCTTCTCCTTATAAACTATAACATTCGATCTTGAACACAAGAACACTTTCAAACGCCTTTTTTGAATTCACAAGTAATGCTCTCACCATTGTATTCGTATAGTCGAATGGCCTGTACGCGAATATGCCGCAGTTAAGGACTAATATTTACTAACCCGAAGAGACTACAGACAGACAGATACTCAGCAGACAGCGGAACAAAATTAAACTGAACGTGTGTTATGGTCAATGTTCTATCTAGTCCAATAAAAAGAGATTATTGGGCATGTATAAGGAGTGTATAATATAAAGTCAGCAAATCGATAACAAGACTAGATGAACAGCGCTCCTCTCTTACCTGGCGCATGGGCCTGAAGTGTGCAGCTGTTTAGTAGTAATGCGGGCACTCTAAAGCAGTGGCTCTCTCCTTTAAACTCTACTTGATATGGTCCACCGTCTGCAAGGAGGGGCTTGTTGAATACGAACAGAACTCTCTCCTTTGCCTGAATTGGAAGTTAATAAGGGAAAGAAACACTGGCTTAAAAGCACAAACGTATTCTGTCTAAATGCTCTGTTAGCATCTGTTTAGCCTGTTCTGAGCGTTCAGATAGTAGGGCGCGGGTTAAATATAGACCGAGGAAAAAAAGAGGGAAGACTGGGGGAAAGGGTAGGGATTCTCTCGCTCGCCCCTGTCTTTTATTGCTTTTCCCTCGTTTTCCCTAACGCTCGCCCCGTACGATTCAACGTGCTCCCCACTATCTGATTATCGGAAAAGGCCTATAAGGCAAAAGATAGAACGTTGTGACTTTCGAAGCTTTATGTCTTTGGGTGTACTTATTTCAAAATATGTAGACTTATTAATGTCGATCAGACGCTGTATCTCATGTAGGGCCTTTCTCATAGCCCTGTCGGCCCTTTTAGCGAAAAATAGAGAAATCAAAAGAAACAATAAAGTCCCTTAGCCCCGAAACAATAGCAGCTGCTTCTTGTTGAACAAGTGAAATAAAACTGTCATAGCTACACCTACTGACAGGCTTGAGTAAAGACATCTAATTCTCGTTTTGAACTGATATACGGTTTTTGAGTGAGATAGTTTTGTGTGACGAGTAATGAACCGTTAACCTGTCGCTGAGAAATGTTTTACGATCGGGGGGTTGGTACAAATGCCTTTAGTGAGTCAATACATCTGAAAAAGAACAGTTCTTCTTTTCGGCGTAATACAACAGTAAAATTCTTACATCATATTGTGACTTTTCTGGCGATACTGCTACAAGCTGCCTGACCTCATCTGAAACATCAATGGCGATAGTTGATTTAACTGAACAAGACTGACAGATTATAAAAAGAAAATCAGTAACTTAGTGGTCAACTATCTCTAAGACGGACACCATTATTCTTTTCTTTATTACAAGACAGTTCAAGTCATGGGCCGTTCGCAACATGCAATGACTTTCGTCTTAGGGGGAGTTGACTGTGGATCAAAACATCCACGTGGTAGAAACGACTTCCACCAAGTTGTTGGAATTATGGCAATCTCTGGGAATCTCTCAATAATAGTATAATAGTAGGCAGGAGCCGATTACCTGGTTAGTCAGTAGTAGGAGACCAACAGTGCCCTTGTTATGAAGCAAGAGTACTAGTATAACTCTACGGTTTGTTAAAAATATCATACCATATATACAGTCCGGTTCCTCCATGTTGTTGCTGTTGTTTGCTCTGACTTTGCCGGGTATGCTTTTCTTCTACACTGTTATGTAGGATAACAATAATAAAGGGTTAGTTTTCTAATTGTTTGTGTTTTGACCGTGCCACTCTATCCTACAGATCCTAGGTCTATTTATTGTGCAATTCACGTTTAAATGCGAGACGTTAGTTACTTCCTTATCCCTTCCGTGAAAGTGTCTATTGAATAAATAACCTAGTGTTTTCTTAGCTTAAGTTTATTCTTTATCTATAGTTCCAGTTGTTGTTTTTTTTAGACGACCACAAATTAATTTGCTGCACTGTTTATAATTTCATTCTTCTCTCTTTGCTGAACCTTCAATATGACGATCGGTCCACTTTTAGAAATCGTCATGGCTTCCAGTTCTCCTCATTTAAGAAGACAAAAGGAAGCTCCGCTTGCAGGGTGGAAGATGTGACTCTCTGAAAACTGACAACATACCTTTAATAGGCCTTTTGCCATTAGTTGATCACGTGATCAACTTTCTGTAAACACGAAAACAGTTCGCTTTTGAAGAATTTAATTAGCTAGAACTGAAAGAGCATATTAAAATTAGGTAACCTGTAAATTTTCAGCCGTATATCTCAAAAATAGCGATCGCAACGGCCGCGGAAAATCATAAGGATATTGATTTGAATGAGAAAAATAACTCCTACGACCCAGTCACGCCTGACAAGCTTGTTTTTCTCATGCAAATCCTTCTGATTTTCGGCGGCCGTTGCAATCGTTCCTTTTGAGATGAGCGGCTGAATATTCACAGATTACTTTCTGTACTTTATTTTAATATGCTGTTTCAGTTCCTGCTAACCGGAAAATGTTCCAAAAGCGAACTGTTTTCGTGCTAACAGAAAGTTGAACACGTGAATAACTATTGCATAAGGGTGAAAAGGCCTATCTGTGATCGATGTCCTGTGTTGTGATTGGTCAAGGAAAAAATACAAATGACCAACAAATCTCTTTCAAGTTACCGGGTCTCGACAATTAGTTTTGAATTTGGTCAGAAGAAGTCAAAATATACAGTCAACCCAATGTAATATATATTTACACAGGAGCCGAGCTCCTGATCTACAATATTCAGAATATCTAGTTCAAAAAGGAGTGGGATTTTTTGCGATTTAATCAACTTCCTGTAAACTTTTCCGCTTAGAATGGCAAGCATTCACAGCTGGATTTATCTGTTTTCCTCGCGCGCGCAAACACATATTAAGAAATAAATGGAAAGAAAACAATGAAAACCGCTAAGTTAAAGAATAAAAAAGTCCTGGCGTGATCAATTTCCTTTGTTATGATACGATCAATTTTAACCGTTATAATTTGCATAATTCATGCAAATCAAATTAAACACCTAGTGCGATAAAAATATTTTGAGTGCTGCTCAATCGCCACTTCCTGAAATAGAACTGAGATAGGTTCCTTCGAATTGAAACAATCTAACCAAGTTTTTAAGACGCTGTCCATCTTGCGTGCGTTGTCAAAATACCATTCCAATATCTTTTCCGGCTAGTTCGAAACTAACCTAAGCATACACATATACCTCACGTCCTGTCTCTTTTTGATCAATTCTTGATTTGTTAATAAATTTTTCTCATTACTAGTTATTATAGCTTTAATGGTTATCACTATTATGATTACGCGAAGTGCGTAGCTTCTTAAATTCACTCATGTTTGCATCTTCAAAGTTAAAGTTGGTTAAGGCAATGTCGAGTATCGTCACAAGCCTCTAGAAGCTGCCAAAATGTTTCTAATAGCTCTGAAGTTTGGTGCAGCATTCTACATGCAGTTTTTATTTAAATTATCAGTCGTTATAGACAGTACCTGATTTCTGATGTGTCGACTTTCTTTGATTCTTACCCCTTTCAAAAGTTTCGAGACTTAGGGACACCAAGTGTAGAAAAACTTACCGGCGAAAACATTTTATCATCACTGTCTTTAAAGGCTGACACTGTTTTATACTACTTACCGACTCGAACCTCACTGATGTCTTGAACCATCTGCGTAAGATCCGTTCAATATTTAGAACTAGAAACTATTCTTAGTACCTCTGCTCTCAAAAATATCGACAGTGAGGACGTCAAAGATAGAAACGTTGCAAGTTATACATAAAAAAGGAAGTTTGTTTCAATAATAATCAGTCCAAGGTTTCGTTTTATGTCTCATTGCACACGCCAATAACATCCAAGATCGTGAGAGACGTCTATCGAAAATGTATTGTCTTCAGATTTAAATGTCTTGGTATCAAGCTGTTAATCTTCAAAACAAGTCATAGTAAGACAGTTAATAGCATAATAATTATTCATTTGCTTTGTACTGACCTCCAGATATGTCTTAGCGACTGAGGACACATGAGGAAATAACAAACAAAAGGTCAGTTTTCAGCTGAACTAACAGTATCTGGGAAGAAAAACGAATGCTTAGCCAGCTCAAATGAAGGGTTTAAATAGTATATGTTACATTACTGGCACTTAAAATTGATGTCAGTGGCTGATTGTTCAAAAGGGAAGTGACGGACAAATACTTAATTCTAACAATTACCTGAGGGCATAAGAAAACAGTCTCTCTCGGCTGAGGAAGGCTAGTTTTGTTAGCCGAAATATTAGCCTATAATAAATCAGCCCTTTGCCGTTGTGCCAGCCCAGCCTGCAGTCAGTTTTGTTTTATTTCACTGTTTAAGTGACGTATGGCTACAGCATCTCTTTGATTAGAGATCCGGCGAGAGTAACCAGTCATGTATACTGTACGCGTTGCGTGCACCTCTGCATTCAAACAGTTTTTCCCATCTGATAAGACTCTAAGTAGTATCAGTAAGGACTAGACTTAAGAAATCCGCAACTCATAAATTATTTGATTTATGCATTCAAATTAGCGAATGCATCTCCCAGCTACACTGTCTGAGTTGGCTGCTACACTGACTATTATTTAAAACGGCCGGGTCACGCTATAGAAAAATCCATTTTACAGTTACGGGCGCAAATTAAACTAGGCTGTAGTTGACCTTATTTTGATACAACCCTTCCTCCTTTAATGTCTTAAATCCAGCGGCGGACGGAGAATTTTGTGATAGAGGTGGCCTATAGAGATGTAGTATACAGAGTGCAATATGGGCGCGATAGAGCCAATCTGAGGACTGAGAGATTGAAGTTTTCTGAGATGCAATCTAGTGCATTCTGGACGCTTGAATTTAGCAAATGCCTGGATTTCATATTGCACATGTAATGCCAAAATATTCAATAAACTACAAGTGGTTATGGCCTGGCCAAAGAAGTGATTGACACTTTATGATGCTAGCAAGGGCCGAAGCGATTGCCTCGAGAGCACAACCTCCCGGCAAAGGCGGCAACATTGTCTCCCTGAAAAATTGTCAGATCCAGTTTGTTTGAGATGGATATTTACTGCATGCATTCTGGGAGCTCTGGTCATTTGCCACTAAAAATGTAGGCTTCGAACACAGATACTTTTCTGGGCTCATGTTTAAACAAAGCTCGACTACCATCCGATACACGTTTACAGGAGAAAAAAATTCCCGGAGAAAAGTGGGGGCCGGGGACCTTGGGCCCACTCCTAAATCCGCCCTTGTAATCCATTGTTATTATCCATATTATTATTATTTAGCATGATTTTCATATAAGAAAAGGAAAGAGGTTTGTCTTAAAACAAGGTCAATCTCAGCCTCACGTTCATTTAGAGGCTAAGGTACTAAGCTCATAACTGTAAAATGGTCTATTGTATAGCGATTTTGCCAAAGGAAATGTGACGGAATTAATGAATGCAGCGTTTTATTGATCGATAAGATCAAAATGATAGGAATGCTATTGAACGTTGTGCACCTTCAGGTCCACAAAAAACTTTAAAGACACTCTCTCCTCCGCGGGGAGGCTGGGGAGGAAGAAAAAGAAAGCGTGCGGGGCACGATGGGAAGGGGCCTTTTCCCTCTTTCCATCGTCGCCCACACGCTTTCTATTATTTTTCTATTCTAGTTGCTATCTTTATTGGAAAGCCTAGAGGGAGCCTCTTCGGAGGAGAGAGTGAAAGGCATGTAACCATTCGTAACCATTCCACTTTATTAACTATGATCGAGGTTCAAGGTTATAAGCATGCTAGGTTTAAGTCTTAAATATTTTGAATGAATGATAAAACAATTATTGAATTCGCCTTCATATGATATGAAGAATTAGCACGTAGGGTGCTATCCACGTATGCCTTTAATTGGCTTCATTCATCTAATCAATTTCAGTCTCATCCAAAAGTTGCTGAAATAACAGTTCGAAATTCAAAGGTTTTACTTGATTCAGGTAGGACATCCCTTTCTCCTCAAGAAAACAAGAGGACGCTCTGCTTGCAGGATGCATTTCTTGCTACAGTGTGCCGCGAAATTTTTGCGGATTGGCCATTTTTTTGTGTTTTGCGGGAACTAATTTTTGCGATTAGGACTGATTGGTTGTTCTCGATGGGAATTAATTTTTCAGTGCGATTTTCCCAAAGTCAGTACCCAGTATTGATAATATTTTCGTTTTTATTGAGTACGTGCAATGCAGATATATATTTTCAAACAATACGACGGTGTGCGTACCCTATATAAAACAAATAATTCATTGTCAGTACCGTTTTGTTTCTGAACGAAATTAAAGAGACAAGTTGTAATTGATCATGAACAGACACGATTGCTTAGTTCACTATATTTCTGTGTAGCAAATTTAAGTTAGAGAATATATTTACTCCGGAGTACATTTTTGCGGAAAAAAATGTTTGCGGTAATCTCTATTTGCGGGAACTTATTTTTGCCGATCGCTGGAAAAAATCGCAAAAATAAGAACCCGTAAAAATTTCGTGCCATACGGTATACTACTCCTAGAAGTGTCCACAAAGAAATACTTCGTTTGTAACACCATTTTTTTAAATCTCTTTAATAAATTTAAGCAAATCCTTTGTTAAATAGTTGTTGTAATACTTGTGAACAAAGTCGTGTCTTGACTTCAAAGCTGATACAACTTATTACGGCTAATGAACTTAACTCCTTGTTCATACACGCGTCCACGTGTCTAAAGTATATATGTTCTACATAATGACTTATGGTTAAGTGTTCTCTTTTCTTTATCGACCCCTCGTGACCGGGTTAGCTAGAAAAACTCGAATTGACGTGATCATCAGTTAAATAAACGTCCAATTCTTCATTGCTGATCTTTATGCTTTTTTTTTTACCTAGCTGCTCGATCGACAGAAATGAAGTGTCATATGAATAATCGCCAGTTGTATTTTAATATATGGTACAGTTTATATAACAGCAAAAAGGTTGGAACGAGGCAAAGGTTCCTTTCAAAATTAGATTTAGAGCTGTCGTTTCTGGCATTATTAGCCTCACCATAGGAAAGTAGGGAATCTGACCTTAGACTCTAACTGTTTTGCCTGCTAGTATAGTACAGGAAGGTGGCCACCACTGAATTACTTTTCATTGGGCTGCCTGTGGCAAAGCCAACTTGTCAGTTTGATTCTATCCATACACTGACATGAAGTGGAGTTTACAAGCAACCACAAAAAGTACGGATTTCATGTCCATCAAGAGGTTAGAATAAATAAATAAACCTTGTTGAATAACTTCGCTCAATAGTTGACTCTGGTAAAAACTAAGAGTCAAATCGTAATTAACTTATCATGCATGCGAGATTGTTATCTAACGCGAAGGACGTATTAGTGACTGTTTTAAAATGTCAACCGAGTGTAAGTGATTCTCTTCTGTTGTCTTTTATGAACGTATTAGAGTTCACTTGGATATCAATCCCAGAATCCCCATCGCCCCCACCGCTAAGGGAAATTGGATGTTCCCTCATTGGTGCCACAGACGAGGAACTTATGGGATGAAAAACTCATGCTCGTAATACTTGTGCCCAAGTTGCTGCTTCTGAACATCTCTATGACGCAATTTTTCGTTGTAAACAAGCGCCAAGCGTCTTGGAAATCTTTCTTGATAATTCCATGCAGCAGAAAAATGAACAGGCCCTGGAATGAGCACGTGATTGTAAAGAGGTAGTGTAAGACCAAAGTTCCGACAGTTGCCGCTAAACCAGCGAACAGCCAGTTTAGGCCAAGAAGGACAAATACCGATACTGTGGCCCGGAAGCGAGACAAACGATTGGCCTTTTCGCACATGTGTGGAATTTTGTAAATCTCTTTCATCACCACCAGAAATATAATGATGTTGACTGTCATGAGGAGAAGGACTGGGGCGAGAAAGGCACCGTAGAACGTATCGGCGTCCATCCAACATCTGAAAAGTAGGCGTAGTAGCTGTTATTATTGGAAAGATATAAATTACTATCGTGACGTGACTATCGTGTCCATCAATGAAATATTAAATGTCTTAGGCTGAGCAATAAACAGTTAACTAGCAGGATCTTTGTCCACGGGTTTTGCAGTTAATTTAATACTTGATTAGGCTAGCAAAATTAGCGTTTAAATCGTTTTAAGGATGCTTTTGTGAATAGATGCTTTTCCCTTTATTTTTTAAATGGTAACTATTTACTTTAACTTGTTGATGGCCATCAGTTGTAAACTCGCCATGTTTGTTTATGTATTTTTCTCATGGTACGACTATATTATTATTACTACTATTATTATTATTATTGTTATTTTCGTACTTAATGTAATACACGCAGATACATTAGACTGACTTCGTTTTAAAGCAAAAATTATGTGCGTGCCCTTCTTCGAGAGTCTGTGCTTGTAGTCTATATAACTTACAGTGATTCGTTGTTTTTTTTGTCCATGACATGAAAGCCGTAGGAATCAGGCTCGGCCAGCACGGTTATCACTACAACTATTGCTGGAATGACTACGAGATAAACAAAATTTAATATTGATTAACTTATATATAACGTAATATAATAAAAGAAACCATTCCGTGGCAACGGGCAAATCGCGGTAATACTAATGATCTTTAACATAATGAGAAAAAATCGGATATTCATGATTTTTTTTTTAATCCTAAGCAGTCTCAAGTTATTCGCCAAGCATTTTAGAATTTATCGAAACTTGATTCTTGATTCCCATCTTTGCAAAAGTGGAGTCGTTTGATGCACCTTTTTAATTTTTATTTCAACACACTAAAACGTGTTTGTTAGCTACGTTCTTCTTTATCTGTTTATACGCTTAACGAATAACAAACTAAGATGATGTATAACTTTAATGTATTTACTCTGCACGATGAATTTGGCGTTCATGAGAGCCACTAATCGTTTAGAATTCCACTTGCAAGATAGTAACTACAACTTTTTGAAAGAATTTTAACTTACTCCAACCTACAACTCCAGCCCTGCACATGAACTCATTCTGTGAAATAAGTGTCGTATCAAACACTTTAACGAGGTCTTGATACAGGTTATAAGCCTCAATGCTCATCCAGACAATCGATGAAAGCAGGAAAAAGTGCAGTAGCGAGGCTATAGCTTTGCAGACGTCCAATGAGTCAGAGTCTGTTATGCTATTGATTCCAAACGTGAACAGCAAGATGGCTGCCAGCAAGGACATACTCAAGTAGATCAGAATCTGATTTTGCCGAAGACGGCGAAGTTTCCTGAGAGAGAAATAATCCCGCAATTAAATCCCCACCTTATGAAGTGTTTTTGTATAATAAATAGGGTCATGCATGTGCAAACAAGATGCATGGCCGCCGTTTTATTGTTGTGGATACATTGGGCGTTGAGATTGGTCATTTCGTTAACTATGATCTTAGTACGGTGGTATGAGCTTGTATCATGATTTTTTCTTTGTTGTGACCACCACGTATGGTGCACAATAACAATTGTAATCCCGCCCAAAAAACCACCTCAACCGACTGTGCTAGTCGGTTCCTTGTTCCTCAAAGGGTTATAAGTTACCAAAATACTAAACCTAGAAAACAGATCGGTTCACTAAACTGTATACCTAGATAAGCAGATGGTCAAAATCAACAGAGTGAGCCCCAAAGCGGACAGAGTACATCCCACATAAGATATAGCGGAAAGAGCTTGCTTGTGTTTGTCTGGTATATCGTCCAATTTGCGTAGAATCTTATCAGGGGTGAAGTGGATCGGCTGTAAGATTTCTAGATAGTTCGTAACTGCGGAGGCAGGGATTTTCTGCAAAAAAAGTTTAAACGTGAATTAATATGAATTAATTGATTACTAGTTTATTGATTACAATCGATTTGTAGTTTAATGGCACTCTGCACTGAGTTTTCATCCCACGAGATCAGAGCAAAAACAATTGTCTATGCGCTGCATAATCTCGTACCCAGATCTCACTCGGTTTTACCCTTGGCCGTGGGAGATCTGGGTACGAGATTATGCGCTGCATCCAGCTTCGTGACATTTTAGATGCGTTAAAGGAGAATTCCGAATCAGATTCCTGAATTCAAGAATTGCATCGTAAGAGTAGGAAAAAAAAAAGGATTTTGAAAATGCATTAGATACTAAAAATAGGACGAGATTCTCAGAAATCTTTAAGATCATTCTGAATTTAGCATTTCACAAACTGAGCGAATCAATAATAAAATTCATTATACTATTAATGACTAATGATTAACGTGCTACCTACCTCAAAATGTAGTGATGTTCTGTTTAAACGCACACTTGGGTATAACTGAAAATGTTTCACGGATCTTAGATAATCCCAGAAGGCGAGATTTACCAGCCCTTCCAGACGGTGGAGATTTCTGGATGGATCAGAAACATTGAAGTCAAGCCGTATCACCGCAACGAAATAAATACCTCTGAAAAGAAAAACAGGACACGTGAAATTGGTTTTATCCGGAATTTGAATGTTTTTTGTTCCAACCATGATTTAAGATCTTGGGGTTGAGAAATGATTCAATGGAATTTCAGTGTAAACAGCTTTCCTCTCTGGTCGGAAGGACTCAATTTTAAATTCGCGATCCGTAACTGTGAAAAACGTCGTCTACTTTTTGCAGCTCTTCCAGATATTGATCTGGCTAAAATTATTTTGTTTAATTGTTTGTTGTTTTTTTCATTGGGGTAAAGGAGGATATCTATAGCGGGCAAAACAGACTCGTACCCAGTCGCTATTTACATGTGTTTTTGGGGTGAGCGACTGGGTAAGAGTCTGCGGGCAAAAGATATCTCCCAACATGCCCGTTCGTGTGCGCGCAGCCAATCAGAAGACAGGAGTCAATTCAGGGCTCGTGGATTAAGCCATTCAATAAGGTGACGGAGTCACATTTAACAGTTAATGAATGAGGCTGAGTATCTTATGAAGAATTATAGAGATCGAGGAGGGTGTTACCCGTCAAGGCCGTAGGCCGAGGCGGATAACACCCTCCGAGATCTCCATAATTCTTCATATGATACGAAAGCCGAATTCAATAACTGTTTTATTATTCATTCAAAATAGTTCCTAGTTTAAAAACGTAGTTAAAACATGCTTACCTCCATCGATCCATCGATGTTCAGTTCATCTTCGATAATGTACGTTTAGATTTGTCCAGCTCCGCAAATATTCTCCAAATAGCAGATGTCGCCCTTCGAGTTGTCTTCTTGCTGTTCTTGCCATGTTTTTAGCTATTTTTTCGCCTAGTTCTAACTCTTGAAACGAGTGAAATGTCCGCCATTTTTTCAAGTTCACAACCAAAACAACTCAACCTCGTCCCCAGGTCTTCTCGGTTAACGGTGCCTTAACCTGCGAAAACGCTGCATTTTTGACGTCATTTCCTCGTTAAAGTCAAAATTCTTCCAAATTTGGTCATCAGTCACTGGTTATGGTGAATTAAGGGTGTGCTTTTATCCAATCAGAATCGGGGAAATATTTTGAATGAATAATAATAATTGATACTGACTTACGTTTCCTCTGTTTGTGTTTGGGTATTGATAACTATCCTCTTTGTTGAGTTTATCTCCGGTCCACCATGCGAAGGTGCTCTATAAATAACCAAACAGAAAAGTTCAAAATTTCGTCTGATCTTTGTTTTTGCTTTAGTTTTGTTTGTTTGCTTTCTTTTTTGTTAACTCTTCGCCAACTGCACAATTATGAGTATGTATGGAATGGTTTTCTGTGATTCCTTTTACAATTTTGTTTTGTTTTTGTGCTTTTGTTTTTTAATTAAAAGCCATATAGTTATGTATTTTTTGTTACAGATTTAGTTTTCAGACATTTCCAAACGCACGAGCGCAAAAACAAATTGCGACTGTGTAATAACTAGAATATCCTAGAATACCTCTTTTGATTATTCTTTTGTCTTAATCATAATTGCCCTCGAAGTCTATAAGCAACACATGAAAACCTTTAAAATAATAATAAAAAAATACTAATTAAGCTTTGCTCTTTTGGCATATTTCTATTTCATTTTTTTTTTCTTCACCTAAAGAAAACTCCCTCAGAATTCTGATTAAGCAAGGTAAATACTTTGACTTTTGACACAAAGAAATTGAACATCTCCCAGAACTGCAATAAATTAAAACGAGAAAAAAAGATCAATAATGAAAATTATGTAAGACATCTAGCATAGCTTCATGTTTTACTAAAGACCAAAAGAGAGAAGTCTATATGTTGTTTGTAGTCTTTTTTATGATTAGGACTATGCGCAAATTGGAAATGAAAAAAACTCTCCATTCAGCATTGTTTTGTCTCAGTTTTCCTGGAGTAAGTGTGCTTGGTGACCGAAAAGAAAACATCTCTCTAAATTTCCACCTTAATTTCATGTCTGACTTTGGTCAAGAGCCCCAAGCCTTTATCGCTAGTGCGCTTGTACCATTGCCCGTTTTATTAAATAAGGATAAGGTCCATAACATGATTTAACAGCAAGCAATCAGAGCTGTGAGATGTTTCGTGTCTGCTTATTTGAAGCTCAGATCAAGGCGAGGCGCTTTTCGTTGCGTGTTTCCAACAACGGAAAGCAGGATCCCAACTCATCTTTTGGTTAAGTTGTAAACGATTTCCACCCAAGCCTGAAACAATTACCTTCTTTAAAAGTTTTATTCCTCTGATAAAATCTGGTTTGAAAATTGCTATTTCGGGATTCACCATGGCTAACGAGGCTTAAACGCTTATCAATTCATTTACTCAGATTTCTCATCCATGCCTGGCTTTATCGTCAGAAGAATTTCCTTGCTCTAGTAAATTCTCAGGCTCAGAAATTTGGCATGGGCTTTATTCGGGGTCAATTTCTCCCCCAGGGATTTTTTTGTGGGGGGTGGGGGGGGGGGGTTGGGGGTTCGTTGAAGCCCTGTGATATTTTTGGGTTTTGATTTTTGCTTCCATTCGCTCAGCGCATTCCCGTCACATGGAATTCGCAGAAACCACGGGTTTTGATATGGAGTTCTAGTTAATTGACTTTAAAAGTATAATTTGCAACTCACCCCTTCTTTGACGTCATCAGCAAGTTGTTTGCATGTTTCGCAATCTTTCAAGTCTTTTTTAAAGTATTCTTCAGTGTAGTTATGGTTCAGAATCACCCCAGAAGCATGATAATGAAGTGTTACGTTTTCTCTTGTGGTATAACCTATTATAGAATCAGTTTAAAATGAATTATAGACTTGTCAAAAAAGAATCCAAAATTCTTATCTCTCTAACAAGGCAATTTGAGTGTACCAGAAATTGGAAAGGAAATTCGACTATTTTCCAGGGCGGGGGCCATTTTGAATTGTTACTGTCACGTCATTATGTATACGTTGTAATTAATCTCACCTGTTAAAACCCCAAATATTATCATAAACAAAAGGCCTCGATGTCCATTTAACTCCATCCTTGGGTTTAACAACTTCTACAAAAAAGAAGAATTTGTTAACGACTATATAGATCGTTTCCACGCGCTGACGTCACGGTGAAGTTATTGGCGTACAATCAAACGAAACGGTGGCTATATTGGTGTACAGGAAAAAAATCCTGTAGGAATTGAACTCTTTTTTCATGTAAAAATCTTCTCTTACTGAATAAAATTTGCTTAGCTGATGAACACGTAAGTGAAAGCGATGCATATAGCTAAAGTCTTGATCGTTGCAAAAAGCGATGGTAGTTCAAGTGCTGTTATGGCCTGAGATATCCTTCGGAGGAACTTTTAGGTTGCGTTCGATTGGGGAATTCGGATTTAGATTTTGAAATCCGGATTTCTGATTTTGCAATCGAAAACGAAATCCGAAAAGGGATTTCACCTCCGAGAAATCCGTCCCAAAGGGTGGATTTAAACTAAGAAATTCAAATCCGGATTTCATGGATTTCCCTTTTACCGTTCAATTGGCAATTCGAAATCGATTTGCAAAACTATTCTCGTGAACAGCGGTCTTCTTTTTACTAATTATGCGTGCGCATGCAAGACCGCTGTTCCTAAGGACAGTTTTTCAAATCCTTTTTCGGATTTCCCAATCGAACGGTAAAAAGGAAAATCCAAAAACAAATATTTCGGATATACGTTTTCGGATTTCGCGTTCGATTGCAAATCCGAAATCCGGATTTTAAAATCTAAATCCAGATTTGCCAATCGAACACACCCTTAGTTGTCTTAAAAAATTACTAAGCATATTAAGCTTCTGTCTTACGTAGTGAACAAAATGTATCTCGTTAATTTAGATCATAGGATAAGCATGTTTTGCAAACCTTACTGCTTGTGATTTGCATCATCTTAAATATCAAGACCGTTACGGTCGGGGAAGACTAAGCGATTGTACATCTTATGGTAGACTAGGAAACTGTCTGTTCATCTTGACGAACCTAGCCCCTGGAGTAGCTGAAAATTCAAATCTTAATCGCTTAGATTACTAGGAGACCCCAAAAACAAAATGAGGCAAAGATCTTATGAACCAGTCTCTCGTTAAATTAAGGGTAATTATATACTTACGTCGCAGTATGCACTGTTAAAGCCAAACTTCTAGAACTTAGGGTTTTCTTTGTTTTTTTTGTTCGCGTCTACTTGCAATTAGTTGTAATTGTTTATAGTTTTCTTTTGTTATATTGTTTACTTTCTTTTTGGTGTCACCATCGTTGCGTAATGTTACGTAATCTGTCAAGTTTTTTGGTATAAGTTAGTCTTGTCGGTCAGTGTTCTTTACAGTTTTTATCGGTCAAGAACAGCTCATTCCTTTTAACGTTAAGTCAAGAAACCGTTAAGGTAAATTTTAGTCATACGCCATTTGTACGCTTTTCCGTTTTCTTTGATGTATTTGTTATTTTGTACTGATTTCTGCATTTTTCGTAATTTCGTATTCTTTGTATTTTTGGTTGTACAGTACCGTAGGAGTGTGATTTATAAAATAAAGCGGTTGGACACAAATACGCGTGACTTCGGTTACATGAACTATTAGCAAATTCAGTGCAAAGATCGTCAGCAACCTTTTCTTTATAAACTCAGATTATTAACAGAAATCATAAAGTAGTTGTGCTGGGTGCCTAACGATAATCTGTTGCCTCTACTCGTCACAAATATAACATCCTGCTCTTAAAATGTTGACAAACAAATTTCAGAAAAACGCTATTTCTGTAATAAAAATTTCAAAATATTAAGCATTGCATATTATAAGATTTTTTCTGATAGCTGTTGCATGTTCGTAGATCTCAGCCCTTGCTTCAACCATAACCACAGCTGTAACCATTCAGACTTAAGTCTGATGTTTAATTTTTTTTAGCCTTGGGATTCAGGATGAGAACAGTTTTTAAAAGTTGTTATATTTAGCCGAGAACACTGTTAATGTAACCGTACAGTATAAATACTGAGCAATTCTGATTAACATTTTATGATCAGTGCAGATCACACACAAGTGTTAAAATGTCAGGCGGAAGGCTGTTTGACGTTTTAGAGAATGATAACGAATTAAAATTATCTGACGGTGGCCTAGAAAGATTCAAGGATCTTCATATTCGAAATTAAAAATATTAACTGTTGTTATTTTAAAATGAAGGAGTCTCGAAGATAAGGTGCATTTTTTTAAATGCCGGGCTTCCTCACAAAGGGACACGTACGTTGTAATTGGGAAGTCAGCAATTTGAATCCAGATCTCCTTTCATAATATCAAACCCTAGGATGCACGCCAGTTGTCCTATGATACAAATTCTCATGATTTTTTATTTTATTTCATTTTTTTTCTGAGAACAGAACCAAACCTTATGACAAGTTCAACATCACTAACAGGTTGATGCTTGTACGAAATATATTTTTTATTGCTGGCGTTAAATTGAAAACGTGATCCGCAAAATCTGTATCTTTAAATTGTAAAACGGCAGAAAGGTTACTTTTCAGACCAAGGTTCCTAAAATGTTACTCCCTTTGTTAAAGTATTAATAGTCAGACTTCCTGCAGATCGGCTCATTTCTGTTCTAACTACTAACTTAAAGAAAAAATTAATCGGTCAGTGTAAAACGCAGACTGCGGACTGCAGACTGCAGACTGCGGACCAGGGGTAAAATGCAGACTGCAGACTAAGAGTAAAACGCAGACTGGGGTAAAATGCAGAATAAAGACTGTAGACTTTTTTAAACATTTGTGCTCGTTCTTCTTCAAATCGGTGAAACAGCTAGCCGGTATCAGTTACACACTTCGCTTCCTAGTCGAAGTGAATTGCACATTCGCCGGAAGTTTCAATGAACATCCAAACAGCTTAAGTCTGCGTACCTTGATTAGCCTGGTCACGTATATCGAAAACTTCGCATCAAAAATTGAAGCGTGAAGTCTCTCGGATGGAAAAAAGGTTCAAGATTGCGATTATGTTTTCGAGTCGTCGACGACGTTCCAGAGAAGAAAGGAATGGATTTGTGAAAGCAGATGTCATCAAGTAAGTGTTCGTTTACAGGTATTTGCGGGATTTTTTTGCCCTTAAACCCTTCCACGACTACAGTTTATGCTCGGTCTGCATTTTACCCCAGTCTGCGTTTTACTCTTAGTCTGCAGCCTGCATTTTACACTCAGTCTGCATTTTACCCCTGGTCCGCAGTCTGCGTTTTACACTGACCGAAAAAAGAGCATGCAGAGCCTTCTCTTTCAAGTGTTCGAGTGAGATATTAAAATTACCGGTTGAGGAGATACGGGTTCCTAAATATGTATATTCATGGACAATATCAATGGTTTCTTTACCTATATGGAATTCTAGATTGGAGTTTTTCTTCGCTCGTTTTTGAAAGACCATAACTTTGGTCTTTTTGGAATTTATATCTAACATCCAAGAGTTGCAAAAAGAGGATAATGTGTTGAGACAGTTCTGTAATCCTATTTTAGATCGTGATATAATAATTAAATCATCAGCTTATAAAAGCGAATTTAATTTGGTACCATTTGGAAGGATGATAGGGCCTGATAAAGTAGTTTGAAATGCGGACGGTAAGTCATTAACGTATAAATTGAAAAGTAAGGGGCTTAAAATACAGCCCTGGCGTACGCCTCGTGAATAGCTAAAAGATTTTGTTTGACTCGTACCTATTTTCAATGCACACGAAGAGTTTGAATATAGGTTTTGGATTGACTTATAGAAACATCCCCCTACACCAATTTGTACTAATTTATATAAAAGTCCGTCATGCCAGACTGAGTCAAAGGCTTTTCTAAAGTCAACAAAACAAGCGTATACTTTCTCACCGTGACAGTGGACGTACTTGTCTATAAGAGTTCGTAATGTTAGGAGGTGGTCTGATGTTCGATTTTTAGGTAAGAAGCCGATTTGAGACTTGTGGAGTATGTTCAGCGAAGTGACGTGTTCAAGAAGTCTTTGGTTTAAAATTGAAAAGAACAACTTTCCTAGACAACTAGAAACACAAATCCCGCGGTAATTTGATGGGTCATTTCTTACGCCAAATTTAAATATGGGAGTTATAAGACCGTTGCACCAATTTTTAGGCACTGTTCCTAAGTTAAGAACATTATTAAAAAGTTTATGGTAAACAGGTAGCAGTGTTGGTAAGCTAGCTTTGATCATTTCGTTTCTTATTACCAAAAATTACCTTTTCAGATCAGTTTTGATAATTTACTCTGCCCAGATGAACTTTTGTAACGCAGAAAATCAGTATTTTTTTGTGAGATTCTTGTTAGTTAACCACAAGTTACAGGATGTAATCTTAAAATACTCCTAAATGATTATGGATATGGGAGGAGTGGCAGCAAAATACATGCAGGAATTGAAGCTACATGACAACAGCTCTGAACTGGCATCTGCACACTCTTTATTGTTCACCTGTTCATGGGCAAACGAAACTTTTGAAATGTCATTCAAAATACAAAATGTAATGATGTCAGTAGCTTTTCACACTCTTGACCTGAAAATATTACGAAACATACTCAAAGCGTCCGAACCAAAATTATAATAGTTGCAATATAATACAAAATCTCATGGACATTTCCGAGAGGACATTCCAAGCAAATTTTAGGGTTTAATGGCTCTACTTTTTTATACTTTTTTTCTTTTCTTAGCTTTTCTTTACCTCATAACAGATAGTAAAACATCTCTACAGCTTACTGATAAAAACGTGCTCATTTCAAATTTTGTTTACTTTTTCTTGAGTTCTTCATTCCGTCTAACGCCTGTCAAAATAATGGACATTTTTGCAATAAGGCATATATAAACGTAATCACGTGAACTATTGTGAACATGTAGGAAATTTAGTTATTGCGTTATTAGATTTCTATTTTGAAATATCGATAGACTAATGAAGGGAATCCAAGACAGTCTTGGATTCTGGATTCCACGCCGTGGATTCCGAATTTCAGGTATTGGATCTCACTATTTTTCAGTACAATTTGGATTCTGGATTCCAATCGTTAGTGGGATT